TAATCCAAATCGTATTGTCTTCAGCATGTAAATAATGAAGCAGCAACATATTTGAGGCAACTGACCCGAGTCTCGACCGATCGGAAGAACTCATACATGACTCACCCTGAGAAGGTTGACCCAGGGCTGGATTATATTGATCTTTCCCCTACTGAAATCAACACATGGACGACGATTCCAAGTTTGGCCTCAGTTCGTGGTGAAGTAAGAGTATCTGATGCAAATGGATACTACAGCTGTGATGACAATCCCGTTCTGGATGAAGAGGGACTATGCAAAGAACGTCTACTTAAGGTCCACAACATGAAGATCCTTTCTTCTGAGGCAACACACTGTTTTCAAGGTACTTACATTTTTCTCAATGGAATATGCATTGTAGTTAGTGGCAAAACAAAGACAATATTGAGCTCTGGTGAGAATCTCACATTGTTGTCGCTTGTGCTTCATGAATGAAAGTAAACTCTTCCTTCTCCTTGAACACTAGACAATCCAACAAATTATTGTCAACTTTAAGGTTAATTACGATCTCTAGATTATGCTGTTGTGATGTTAGTGACACTGAACGTCTGTTAAAAGTTCACAAAGAATTAAAATTGAGTGAACGATGACACTGACCTGTTCACGATTGTAGCGAAGTCGGTGAACTGTAGCTGTAAGCTGTAGTTACATCATTTGTGAAACTAAGGTACTTCTGTTTTTTAGCAGGGGCAGTTTGTTGGCTCAACATTGCAGGAGAGAAGCTTGGGAAAGGGAAACTCATGCATGCAACAAGAGCATTAGTATTCTTGCTAGCCAAGATAATTGCAATTTTCCGCCGCCTACCATTCGAGTATTGGAGAAAGCACAACAACATTCACCCATCAACTCCTGTGGAAATAGGATGTATTAGTAGTACCCCTAATGATGGTGATCTAAAGGTTGTTGAACCTGAGCTGCCAAAGAAAGAGGACTATGTTAGCCCGTGCATGGAGCGCCTGCAGAGACTAGAGAAGCTAGTTGTGGAACTGAGCAACAAGCCACCTCAGATTCCGAAAGAAAAAGAACAAGTCCTGGTTCAATCTCTGGACAGAATCAAATCCGTGGAGCTTGACCTCCACAAAACAAAGAAGGTACAGTTACACCCTCTATCGGTCATTCTTTGTTGTGGAATCTTTGCCGTATCCAGGAGTTTAAGAACTTGTGATTTTCTTGTCTTGCAGGTTCTGCATTCTGCAGTGGTGAGGCAGGTGGAGATTGCACGGTTGGTCGACAGTTTGAGGGAGTCTAAATACCGTGTAAGTCCAAGGATAAAGGGAACAACTTCATTTCTTTGCTTGAGTTTGTTTGTTTGAATAGAAAAAGTTACAAGCTTGATCTGGAGCACTGACATTGACAATTGGATCTTCTCCTTTCCAGAGAAGAAGCTTCTTCTGTTAGAGTCAACAGAAATCACTTATTACAGGAGGCGCCATGGGCTGGCAGCAGCAGCAGCAGCTGGCAAGATGAATGGAGAGAGATTGGTTGTTACTGATACAAAAAGGATCTATGGGGAAGAGGCAAGAAACAAAACTTAAAGTAACAGTAGTTTTGTGAGAAGCATTGCACAGGGAAGGAAACAGATCTGCCACATCTATTTCCGAGAGAACTTTTAGGCACACACTGGTTTACTGCTTTTCCTTCTGTTTCTCCTCCCCCTTTTTTGACTAACCAGGGGAGGTAGAACTTAGAAGTTTAGGCAGGCGGGTTCCATATTAGCAAATAATATGTAAAGAAGAACTGGTGGGGGAGAGTAGTGAGAAGAGAAAGAACACATGGTGAAATGGTGATATAAGAACAAAAGGAATGAAGAAAGTAGTTGAGATACCATGAGATGCTTCTTTCCATAGCTAGAGACTCTACCGAGTTAACCAAAATCATTGATGTAAAAATCGATGTGATTTCATTGCTAAATTTAAAGACTTCACTCAATTGGTTCTCTTAAGCCCAACAAAAGACAGTCAGAATCACAATAGATCAAACTGTATCCAATGCATGCAAGTCTAACCTTTCTCTTCTAATGTGTTAAATGTGCTGTTGTCCAATTCTGGACTCGTCCAACCATGCATGAGCATGTCACAAGTTGGATGAATTGAACCGATTTCAGTTCTAAAGTTAGGGGAAGGCAATGATGGAAACACAACACAATCAGATTAGACCAAATCGAGTTGAATGCGCTATTTGTCCAATCCTGCTCTCCATCTTCCCCTACTTACGTGCATCTTATAAACATGCTCATTTTACTGATATGTAGAGAAAGCAGCTTCAACCTCAGTAGTCAGTACCAGACAGCCATTATTGATCGTGTGCTGTTGCAGCCTCCAGACACAAAATAATCCCTGTTCATAAATAGAGTAGCCAAGCAATTCCAGGCATGTCCATATTGAAGCCAAAATTATCATTTGAATATAAGTAGAACACAATTAAACTCCTTGGCAGAAATATACAAAGAACTGTTGCATAAAAAAACATGTTTAGATCTTTAAATCTTTCCTCTAGCAGTCTCCAAAACCTAGAAATACACTAGTAATCAATAATATCATCATCGTCATTATCACCATTGTCATTGTCATTATCATTATCATTTGCAGCCTGAACGTAGGCTCGATAGATGCGTCGATACTTGTCTGGGTTGTCGTACCAAGTCGTGGTGTTGATGATCTCTCTTTCTAACCAAAACTTGTCCACCTGCTTCTTCTCTGCCAGCTTCTGGCGGTAACTTTCCCACTGCTCCAACACTTTTGCCAGACGAACACTCTTGTTCCCGGTGAAGACATACTTTAGGTAGTCCTTCAGTATCCGAGTCATGTCCTCGCCATTGATGATATAAATGTACTGCAGTATAAAAGTCATTGATTGATATATTTCTATCGGATGCACTACTTAAGAATTTTAATAATGGGAAAGATGGAATCTTTTGTCTAACCAGAAGTATGAACCCCACAGTGGCCAAAACCACTTGGAGAGTTTCGTCCAAGACTCCAGGAAGGTCATCATCCTGGGATCCACCTGAAGCACCACCGCCACCACCACCACCTCGTGGTGGACTGCCACCACCACCGCCGCCTCCGTCGTAGAACTCTTGTTTTTGCATCTGTTCCTTCAGCACATCTTCTACTGATTTCCCCTGGAAACTTCCGAAAGCATTTCCAAGAGACTTCAAAGGAGATCCCTGGTGTCAATTGAGAAGTTTGTCACAGAATTCGTCGTCAGTGTGTACTGGTGAATGAATAGAAGATTAATAGGCCATGTGTCTCAATTCATACAAGATCCCTCCACTCGATGGAGACCAAAATGTTGAAATCGCGGAGATAATGGTTAAAGGATAAGCATATGAAGACTTATACAGTACATATAAGCAATAGAGCCATGATCAGGACCCGCCAATTACAATCAAGTCGCAATGATTTTTCCTCAGGAACTCCAGAACAAGGACAAGTACTTGCTATCCCCCACCTCCCACCAAAAAGCTAACTGTTAATAAGAGAATTTTCCGTATGACATTGGAGACGATTAACATCGTATGATGAGAATATAAATCAAAATTACACATCTAATAAGACAATTCTTCCATTCCAATAAGAGTTACACATCTACTCAGCAATACCTCATTTTCTCCTTCAGGCTTGTCCTTGCCACCAAGTAAGCAAACAAGGGACTTTCGTGGGTATTTCGCTGTGAGGTTGTGATGTCTAAGCTTAGGGACAAGCGCAAAAGAAAGGTACGTCGAAGTTTTAGCAGCAGGTCTCAAGACCTTCAATGGCGTTAGAGTTCTCCATGAACTTTCCAGCCGGGGCAACTGAAGCTGGGTATTATTAGGTAGGCAAGGATTTGCTTGAATGCAGAACAACATTATCCTTCAACTTATGCAGCACTAAGAATATTTACATAAACCTGCAGGAACCAAAACTATAGGGGCTCAGCTATTCATTGATCTGCAAAAACCTCATCTTTCAAACAGTAACTAAGCAACTTCCATATATGATCATCACATTCAGCAAAAATGTTGGCCAGTAAGGCGAGATTCAATCAACACTTCAAGATACGCGAGGCATTGAGCTAACAAACATCAATTCAGGGGAAACCCAATGCAAAATTTCAGTAACCAAAGTTCTTGCAATTCCCAAAAGGTGAAAACTTGGAACTCAAAAAGTGGCAAGTACGCAGGGAACAATGAAACATCAATCTGACAACCCCAAATGTGAAACAGCAGTCTCTCCAGACGTTCTGTTACGTCAACCAAAATCAAACAATTAAATCCCTAGCAAAGCATTCATCATCGGAACCAAACCAATTGGTCATTCGAACGCTAAAACCAGCTCAGAGCAGGTGACTTTATTCTGGGAAGAAAGAAGAATCATATTAGCAAGATGGAGTGATACTCACAGAGCAACAAAGGGGTTCAAGAACAGCTCGTTACTGGTTCAGTAATCTCGTTAGCCCACAAACTAGGACATTGCCCTTTTTCGAACCGGAAAGCAAACTGGTTTCGCCCACCGTTCAGTTGACGAACGAAGCCGCAACCGCCCGGCGGTCGAGGAAGAAGCAGTTGGGATTTGAGAAAATGGGAGTTTTTCGGGATTGGGAGTTGATTTCGGCAAGGGAAGCCGGCGAAGCTGGATAACATTAGTGGGTGAAATGCCAAAAAGGTCACTCAATTATGGGGTTTGTGGCAAAATGGTATATGAACAAAAAATTTGTCAGTTCTACTGTGCCAGGTAAGTTAATTGGTTAAATGATCTGCAATGAACCCTTCATCACCTGGGTGAGATAGAACTGACAAAGTTCATGCTTCGTTGTGACGGTCCTTAATAACAAAATAAGAGTCAGAAACAGACAAACACTATTTGAAATTCAGTCCTACATTCAATTCTCAAATTTTATCCAGATCATAAACTTGTCATCACATTTATTTATCATATGTTTGCAAATCTTCTCTCATATCTATACAGCTCATGTTAGCCATCTATAAATGGCAAAGTCTTGTAATCAATTCCTAGAAGCTGTAGCATCTGCTTTCGAATCTCCCTCTTGGAAGGTCTTGATCTTCTTCTGGCTAACTCTGCTTCTGTGCATTTGTGTATTAGTTGAGCAATATGTTTGCTCAGATGTTTTATTTTTGCTAATCTACTGGCATCAGCCTTTTTCCCCTCATAATCGTTATGTGCTTGGGTACTTACTTTTCTTTTAGGTTAATGGAGCTGGTGATCATCTTCTTAGGTCCCTCATAGGAAGCCTAGTCCTTTACTACCCTGTTGATCAGTACAGGTACAAAATATCATCTATGACTTGTTTCTTTGATTTCTGAATGGTACATGACTTCTCTTCTGACTACCACAGCAAAGAACTGATTATGTTTGTTCCTCAGGTGCATTTTAAGTCACCCTGCTGCTAGGGCATTGGAAGAGTGGATTGGCACAAAAGATTATGGCGATGAGGATTCATCCATCGCGCCCAAATGGCATGTTCCAAACGACACAGAAGTTCAATTTGCAAATGAGCTTCTGAACCTACATTTGAAGTCAGCTTTAGATGATCTGATGAGGATTTGCCGAGATCGAATCCATTCTGATCCAGGTCATGTCTGGTCATGCCATCCTGTTCCTTCTCTCTTGCATCCTCTTACTTGTGATCATTATTTTTTTGATTTTATATGTCCTGTTACTGTTTTCTGGTGTAATACTATTCATAAGTGAGTACTATTGAGTTGTGCGTGTCTTTTCTTAACATAAGTTATAGGTGCCTACAAAATGCTTAACATAAGTTATAGGTGTCATTCCATAACCTCTAGGGTGTACTGTAGACATATCCTATAATTAATTACCGTTCTCCTTTTCTGATTCTTTGTTATTCATTAGCAGGCAATGAGAAATTGCACCTGAAAGTGACTCTTTTGCGGATCGACTCTTCACTGCAAGGTGTTTTGTCTTGCTTACCTGATTTCAGCCCAGCCTCCAGAAATGGGATTGTCAACGATCCGTCTTACATTCCTTTCCTGATAGCTGGAGCAACAGGCACAACTGTTGGCAGCTCTGAACTGCGTGAAAATGCTGCTGAAATTGTACATTATGCTTGCAAGTAAGGTTTTAATGCGATTGTCATCTATTTATTTTGTTTCGTGCTCAACTCGGTTGATTGTTTTATGCTAAGTATTTTTTGGTCTGCTATAATTGCAGATATCTTTTAGAGGAAAAATCAGATGATAGCATCTTATTGGTACTCATTGTGCGGATAATCGATGCTTTGATAAACTACGGTAATATCAATAAATATTTGTAATCTAGAAGGAATTTCAGTTTCTAAGGTGCACATTTGCTTTTTCTTAAATTTTAATTTGTGTGTTATTCTAACATTTGCTACATAGGAAGTCTGGAGTTTGATGAATGGTCAAATCACCGGCAGGCTTGGAAGTTGGAATCTTCTGCTATTATAGAACCTCCCATAAATTTTATAGTTTCATCTCATTCAAAAGGGAAAAAACGGTGAGTTTGTTGTATTTACTTGATAACTATCTTATTGATAGGAATATTGATTTTATTTGTCTATGTCAGGCCTCGATGGGCTCTTATTGACAAGGCTTACATGCATAATACATGGAGAACATCGCAATCGACCTACCATCTTTTCCGTACAAGTGGAAGTTTCTCTCCATCTGAGCATGCAATTGTTTTGATGAATGATCTACTCAACCTATGTCTGCACAGCTATGAAACAGTTCGAGGGTAAATCCTTCATTTGTCTTACATTCTGAGATATTTGTCATTCTTGTTGTTGCATCAAATGTATTGTCTGTGTATTTCTAGGATATTGCATATCATCATATGCAACGTGTTGTTTGTTCTATTTCAATGCCCTGTTTGTTTGGTACTCATTACCAGTTTGAATCACTTACTTGATTTCAGACTTGCTGGCAAATCTCTGCTCAAGATGATTAAGAGATGGCCATCTCTGATCTCCAAATGTGTGCTTTCACTTACTGAAAATTTGAGGAACCCAGCTGCTCCAGAATATGCAGTCTTAGGCTCTTGTGCTGTGCTTTCAACTCAGACTGTTCTCAAGCATTTGACAACGGTGATCATTCTGAAGAAATTCATTTTCCTTTGCATATTACCATGGTCTTTAATTGGCTGACGGAACTTTGCTTTGCAGGATCCCAAAACATTCTCTTCATTTCTTCTCAGTATCTTGTCTAGGTAATTCTTCTTGGCGTCATGGTTTTTTCTTCCCTCACCGAGTAATACATTAAAATGGATTGGATAAGTTGCTAGTAACCTCTTTGTAATCTGCTATCTCACTCAAACCTTTTGGTTTTGCAGCTCTCATCATGAGTCCCTGAAAACCCAGAAGGCAATCAATGAGGTACATTCGCATTGCTCTTTTTTTTTTTGGTAGAAACATTTGCATTGCTCTAAATAGGTGAATGAATGTCTTGTCTATTCATTATCTTGATATATTTTTATTTACAACAGCTTTTTGTCAAGTACAACATCTACTTCTCGGGACTATCAAGAAGCATCTTCAGACGATCAGGCAGTCAAGTGGGTGGTTCAGATTTTTCAGATTTGGTTTCTCAGATTGGATCGATGAGTTTTGAATCTTCTGGCTTGCACTGGAGGTAGATGTCTTATCTTAGATTTTCTTTCTGATAGAGGTATTGGTGGAATAGGTTGACTAAACCATATTGAAGATTAAAGCTCAGAGTCGCAAGTGGTCCATTTGATTCTTAGCATAATTGAAAATCAGCTTCAAACTTCTTCAAGAAAATGATTAGAGCAAAATTGTCTCATGTAAAGTAAGTAGCTGGGATTAATGACTGCAAGAATGACCTGTGACCAATAATATTTATGGGGCAACATGTGGAGTGCTGAAAGAGAACATTGATATAAATAATAATATAATGCTAAGTTTGCTCGTATTTTTCATTACTATGCTCAGTAATAAATCAATCTTAACAATCATGTGCAGTGAAAACACAGGAGATTTTTTGTCACCTTTCTTTATTATGTTTAAGTTGCTTTTCCTGATTCTTGAACATTTACTTTACTTCCTTTTGCCAATACGTTTCCAGGTATAATTTGATGGCAAATAGAATTCTTTTGCTGTTGGCTATGGCCTCCAGAAATGACCCAACCGTCTCCTCGAAAATCTTGAGTGAAACTACTGGTAGGTTTTTATTTGCTTATTGTGTTTTGATAGTGTTTGGGCGAGTGAGTGAAGTTTTATCCTTCAGTGTGACCGGCTAAACTTTAACTGTATTATACTTCTGCAGGTCACTTCCTGAAAAGTTTAAAGAGTCAACTTCCACAGACAAGGATGCTTTCAATCTCAGCACTGAACACACTCTTAAAAGAATCACCATATAAGGTTTCAGCTGAGGATCAAGGTGCTCTACTGGAGGACTTACGCACCAATGTTAAATCTTCCCTTGAAGGAGCATTAAGTGAAATTTTTCAGGAGGAGGGATTTTTTAATGAGACGTTGAATAGTCTATCTCATGTGCATATTATCACTGATAGTGATGGTTCTTCCAGAGGAAATCATGGGAATTCTTCTTTTCAAAGTCTGGCAGATAAATCAATCACCCGATTCTATTTTGATTTCTCATCCTCTTGGCCTCGCACACCTAGCTGGATCTCTCTACTTGGGGTTGATAATTTTTACTCGAGCTTTGCAAGAATTTTCAAGCGGTTGGTGCAAGAATGTGGCATGCCCATTTTGTTGGCTTTAAAAACCCCATTAGAAGATTTTGCAAATGCTACGGAAAGGTCTAAGCAGTGTGTTGCAGCAGAAGCATTTGCAGGTGTGTTGCACTCTGATGTTGATGGTGTTTTAGGAGCATGGGACAGCTGGATGATGGGCCAGTTACAGAGTATTGTTCTTGGTCAGTCGGTGGAGTCTATACCAGAGTGGTCAGCCTGCATACGGTATGCTGTTACTGGGAAAGGAAAGTATGGTACAAATGTTCCCCTTCTGAGACAGCAAATTTTGGATTGTTTGATAACACCCCTTTCAACGGCTGCAACAACTACTGTAGTTGCAAAGCGCTACACTTTTCTTTCTGCTGCACTTATCGAGATATGCCCTCAAAAGATGCCTGTCACCGAACTGGAGATTCACAATAAACTTTTGAATGAATTGTTAGCGAATATGTGTCATTCATCAGCGCAAGTAAGTATAGATATCCTTATGATCTACTTCTTTTTGCGTTAATATCACACTCATATGTTTCAATGTCTTTATTCTTAGAATTGTCCATTGCTTAGGTGTTTCTTTTTCCCTGTATACGTATATTTGATTGTAACTGAGATTCTTGTAAGAAACAGAATTCACTGTTTATTTGAAATGTACGAAATGAAGGAGTGTGTAACAAGAAAGAATCATGTAGAGAGGTGGTTGTGCTTTGCTACTATATAATCTAATAATCCTTAAGGAAACCAACCTGTCCATCCCCAGCCTTTGCACCCTATGTGTAAGCTCAGTTAAAGTTGTTAGTGTTGTGGTATATGATCCACGATTGAACCTCTCCCAACAACTCGAATTATTGGGACCAACTGGTTCATGACATGGTATCAGAGCCTTCTTTGACCGAGAGGTCTTGTGTTCGATTCCCGGTGACCCCCATTTGTTAAGCACATGGTATTCTTGTCTTTAGACCTGTGCAAACTTCAAGCCCTTGTGAGTGGCTTTCGTTTGAGGGGGCGTGTTAGTGTTGTGGTATATGATCCACGATTGAACCTCTCCCAACAACTCGAATTATTGGGACCAACTGGTTCATGACAAAAGTAGCTTTTCCTTTTTCTGGTCATTTTCTAATATGTAACTTGCATGGAACAGGTAAGGGAAGCTATAGGAATCAACCTCTCTATATTGTGCTCAAATATCCGGCTGCGTTTGTCGTTCTCCAATGAAGGGGCTGACCATGGCAATGACAACCCAAATAAAACAGAGACTTGGGTTGCATTTCTTACGGAACGAGCTTCTGAGATGGTCACGAGTATTCAGAATACTAGTCAGTCAGACAACATGGAGACAGCTGCTCATTCTAGTGTTGAATATGGCACCACATTAAATGGAGATATACGAGATGATGTTAAGTGGATGGAAACGGTACAAATGAGATTCAGACTTTTTCTCTAATTATTTGAATTGGGATATAGAAGCTGATGTTCATACAATTCCAGCTAACAGAATTTCTTCGTGATTTCTTCAGCTCTTTCATTTTATCGTCTCAACTTTGAAGTCTGGAAGATCATCTTGTTTGGTTGATGTCATTGTCAGATTTATCTATCCTGTAATTGCCTTACAGGTACGTGAAGTACTTCCTTGGTTTATTCTCAATTTCGTGTTATGTATTGTTGAATTTTGCGCTTGGGCCAATTTCAGGAAACATCAAATAAAGATTTATCAACTCTGGCCAAGGCTGCTTTCGAGTTGCTTAAGTGGAGGATCTTTTGGGAACCTCATCTTCAGAGGGTTGTTGAAGTCATTCTTTCTTCTTCTACTGATTCCAACTGGCGGACCAGATCAGCTACTCTGACATATCTACGTACTTTTATGTATAGGTGTGTTCTCTGTTGTTGGGCTTTCTATCTTTAACTTGTAGGCAATTTTCCAGCTGTTTCAAATGTTTTTTTCTAGACCAAAGGTGTCTCCTTTTGTGAATTTTAATTTCATGTCCTTTTATTATGTGGTTTGTTGGAGGTCAAGTATATGTCTAAGCTTCCGAGTTCTAATAAAGATATTTAAGCTTCCCTTTGTTTGGTACTCTGGTTCACTCATTCGTCTGCCAGATTGGCATTAGAGATTTGTCAGTTTGTTGGATAAGATCTGTCACTAGCATGTTACGAGATATTGGATATAGCATAAATTCTGATATGTACCATTTTCTTATTTCCAGGCACACCTACATACTCCCTAAAGCAGAGAAACAAAAAATTTGGAGAACTGTGGAGAATCTGCTTAGAGACAATCAAGTCGAGGTAATTTCTGGCTGAATCTTGAACCAAATGTTAATGTAGATTCGTAAGTCTAATTTCTGGCGGAATCTTGAACCAAATTTTAATGTAGATTCGTAGGCGATTTTTCCTTATAAATGTGAGATGAGGATGAGATTACAAATTCTTTTCTTGTAGTTATATGGATAGTGAAAGTGAATGTCCCCTAACAAGATCCTGTAGGGTAGTCATCTATCACAAGGAATTCATAGTTTTGAGGGCTAGACCCATGAATTGGATGATGGACTGGCCTTTTAACTCAATCTTTGCTTTAACCAAAAAAATGCACTTTTTCCAGGTAAGGGAGCATGCTGCAGCAGTTCTTGCAGGTCTAATGAAAGGTGGGGATGAGGACCTTGCTTGTGACTTCCGTGAGAGAGCTTTAGTGGAGGCAAGTACCATGCAACGGAAGAGGAAGCAGCAGAGGTTAGCTTTCTTGCCAATATTTCATCTACATTGAATTTAGCTTCTGAAGAAATGCCTTTTTTGTATGTGAATTTTGATCTCATTTTGACGATGACAGGAATCTAAGAAGTGGCCAACCGTTATCATCCATCCATGGTGCTGTACTTGCGCTGACGGCTTCTGTATTATCGGTGCCATATGATATGCCCAGGTACAAATATTGGATTAACATTCTGCAATCTTTGCATGGAGTTGCATTGTTTTTCTTCTACCGTGTATGTATGCATGTGCAAGAGTACCTTACGTTTGTAAACAACCAATTTTATTGATTCTTCGAAGTGCTCATGAATAGAAAGAAGGCTATCATCCCACTTCACCAACTGATTTCGTTCATTAATTCTGATTCGGTTGCTTATTAAGGTGGTTCATCTTCTTAATAAGTAAATTTTTCGGCTAGTGGCCACAGCTATGTACGCTTTGGTTGTCACCTTGCAATGCCGAATGCGGGGATTGTTGAGCTGCAAACTTGTGCGGACAAACATTCACTCTCTTATCACTGAAACTTACTCCACTTGGCTATCCTCTTTGTTAAGTCGTAGGGCTGTCGTTCTCGTGATTTAGTAGATCAACTTTTAAAAGTGTTCAGTTAATAATCAATCATTTCGTGTTTCAGTTGGTTGCCAGAGCATGTCACTCTCCTGGCACGTTTCGCAGCAGAGCCTTCCCCCATAAAATCCACAGTAACGAAAGCAGTTGCTGAGTTCCGGAGGACTCACGCCGATACTTGGAACTTTCAGAAGGATTCCTTCACCGAAGAGCAGCTCGAGGTAAAGATTCCGCTGCCATACCACTTGCTCTTCTACTGATATATTAGAGCATGGAACTGGACCAAATTCTCTTCTGATTTATGTACTGAGACTATCCTTTTCATCAATCTATCACAGGTTCTTGCTGATACGTCATCTTCATCATCGTATTTTGCCTGAACACAATTGCCGATTGAACTGCATCTCGAGACATCCACAAATCTTAATTAGATAAGAATGATAGGGGGGATAGGCAGAAAATAATGTTGTTGTAGTTATGTTTCTCTAGATCGAGGATGTAATGTATCATATCATAATTTATCGGATTTGACACTGCATTTACATTTGTTGTATACTTATTCAGGTTGTAATAGCGATAATGTTCGAGTTTATTCGTTTCTATCTATTTAGTTTGAACAAGTTGATAATCTTTTCCCTAACTCTTGCCGCCATTTCTGGGACTGTTGTAAACTAGGCTCACAACTTCTCTTTTCTCTCCTTTTGTTCTCTATACCATAGGATTAATTAGCTCCTCAGACGGCAGATTCCCCAGTACATTGTCACCTTCATCCTCAAGCTTATCGTTTGGCTCCAGTTGTTGCTAATGTTATTGTGTTACCAGTCTCTTGCATTGCCCTTTATAGACTCACCAGAAAATTGGCCCGCGCTCTGCGGCGGATTCTCAAAAATAAATTGACTAATTAATAGTGGAAAGTAATAATTTTAGATGAATGTCTTTTGTGGTCGAAAAGGAATCATGTATTAACTTGAAATGGATGTGAATAGGACCATAGTCAACTTTTTAATCTCTTTAGTCTTCATGGACTTGTATATGATTTCAGAGTAAGTAGTTGGATTTACAATTATATTGAATTGATTAATTGAATATATGATAAGTGAGTGATATTCTCTAATCTTGTGAAGAGGCAAGAAAATAATTTTGCGATGAAGAATAAAAGAATTTTTACAACATGTGCGATGAATATTTTCATCTAACACAATAAAATTGTTATCGAAGCACAATAATGGTTCAACCCTTGAGATTTAAAATAGAGTATATTTTGAAATAGTGCTATATTCAAATTGAATAGTTCGCATTTTCACATATAGTTTCCTATGCATTATAGTACACTGAAAAAATAATGACCTCTTCCACCAAAATGAAGAATATTTGATTATGACTATGTATGGGAATACGTGACCCATCCGCATCAAACATTGTAACATCATAATACATTGTATTCACTTTGTGAATTTTATGTTATGCATGCTTTCTTACTAACATCCAAAAATACCAAACATAACTTAACAAAATAATTGAAATGAGTGGATCTATAAGAATGTGTTAGGTATATGATGGATTCTAACAAATCAAATGATAAAACCTCGAGAATTAATGAAAATAAAAACTTAAATAACAAAAAGAGCAATGAGAATAATTTATAACATGATTCTGGGTGATCAAGTGAAGGAGATCATGAGGCCAATAGAGGTGAACAGGTGGCATGTTTTCACTTTAAACATAAACATGTGTCAGTCATGCAAAAGAATGATCTGCATGAAACGTGTAATTGGAGAGTAATTGGGTCAATCTTGTTTAGATGAAATAAGACTAATATGCACCATTTATCAATCTTATTTAGAAGCTGCTGGGAGTGTGGAGTGGAGGGCATATAGGTCAAAAGGAATTGAGCTCTCACATCTTACGCTTGGAGAACTGAGGAGCTGGCGAGCTTTCTAGAGATATATGCCACCTTCCTCTCCACAAAAAGCCCTCCGATTGTCCAATCATGTTGCGTATAGAGCAGAGGGGGTTACTTCCCTAGCTAAGAGTCGAGGATCATAAGGGTCTTGAAAAGAATCTATCATATGAATTGGAGTCCCAATTTGTCCAGCCATCAAGAGTCGATCGGAGAATGAAGGTTAGATGAATGATCGGTCGGTGAGGATCGGCGGCTAGGCCAGAGTTATTCGCAGGGGATTTACGGTGAACTCTCCAATAGCGACTGTAGAAAATCCGGCGAGAGGATCCAGCTTGGCCAATCGCCAGTGAATCGTCGGAGGGAAGAAACAGGATTGCTACGCATGGTGACCCGCCAACTTGGCCAGAAAATCGTCGCGGGGAAGATAGTGGGAACTGAAGGGGGAGTTTAAGGGAATAAACGGGTCCACAAAGCTTACTGTGAACTCGCAAGTAGGATAGTAAACCCCTTAAGTCTACTCGCCAATTAATTATACTAATAATCTTTATAGACTCATCTTGATCTTAGTTCTCCTTGAGGAAATCGGACCGCTCAATTAGTATGATATTGTCCGCTTTGGGTCAAGCCCGCACGGATTTACTCTTGCATTGCCCTTTATCGTTTGGCTCCAGTTGTTGCTAATGTTATTGTGTTACCAGTCTCTTGCATTGCCCTTTATAGACTCATCTTGATCTTCGTTTGGCTCCAGTTGTTGCTAATGTTATTGTGTTACCAGTCTCTTGCATTGCCCTTTATAGACTCATCTTTATAGACTCATCTTGATCTTAGTTCTCCTTGAGGAAATCGGACCGCTCAATTAGTATGATATTGTCCGCTTTGGGTCAAGCCCGCACGGATTTACTCTTGGGTATCCTCCCTAAAAAGCCTCTTACTAATTGGGCTAGGTGGACTCTAATATACAAGGGTCCCTTCCCTTGTATTACCGATTTGGTACTTGGATTGTCCCATAACAATCATCCCATCAAGCCAAGGACCACGAACTTAGTGTCCTCACCTCAGCGGTTATCTTGATTTGCCAAACACCTTGTATCGATGGGCTTCTCAGTACAAGGATTTTTCAAACGCGGAACTCTCTTTGATCAGCCAAACCAGATGTAGCCCAGAGCGGAACTCTCTTTTCCGCCAAACAGACGCGGGTCGCAAATCCCGAGGTCACCGAATGAGGGTCCACCGCCCCGAATCGAACCAGGCTCTGATACCACTTGAGGAAATCAGACCTCTTACTAATTGGGCTAGGTGGACTCTAATATACAAGGGTCCCTTCTCTTGTATTACCGATTTGGTACTTGGATTGTCCCATAACAATCATCCCATCAAGCCAAGGACCACGAACTTAGTGTCCTCACCTCAGCGGTTATCTTGATTTGCCAAACACCTTGTATCGATGGGCTTCTCAGTACAAGGATTTTTCAAACGCGGAACTCTCTTTGATCAGCCAAACCAGATGTAGCCCAGAGCGGAACTCTCTTTTCCGCCAAACAGACGCGGTTCGCAAATCCCGAGGTTACCGAATGAGGGTCCACCAAACTGACGTCCACCGCCCCGAATCGAACCAGGCTCTGATACCACTTGAGGAAATCAGACCGCTCAATTTGTACGATATTGTCCGCTTTGGGCCAAACTCGCACGATTTTACTCTTGGGCATCCTCCCCAAAAGACCTCATACTAATGAGCTTGGTGGACACTAATATACAATGGTTTCTTCCCTTGTATTTAAGATGTGGTACTTGGGTTTCCTGGCATTCACTACCTTTATCATCAATAGATTCTTTCTCATTCACCTTCATTTCAATGAAATTTTACATAAGTGTAAAACTAAAATGTTTGCAAATTTGAAACCTTTATCAATTAAAGATTCTTAATTGGCTAAGCTACTAACCAAATAGTTAAAAATCCCACACGTTTAGTTTTCAAGCTAAAGGTTATAAATGTTATATTTGGATATATTTATTATTAGTAAATAAAAATGTTCAATAAACCAAAGGTGGAAGAATGGGCAATTATGGGGAAGGCTTTGGGTTATTGGGCGGGGTACAAATCCTACCATTCGAAGGAGCAAGAAGTGAAATCGGTTGAGAATCGTACCTGGGAGAAGCCGCCAGAGCCCAGAGGGGTGGGTGAAGGTGAATGTTGATACAGCAGTACTGGCGGGGGAAGGGACGGGACTGGGTAGAAAATTTAGGAAAACTTGAATTTTTTCAGGATTCATCAATAAACTCTCGTGTATGAGATATTATTGATTTAGAAGTCTATAAAATACTTTGTTTTAATAGTTTAAATTACACAAATGTCCTTACAAACTCTCATAAGACCGAAAATTTTGAATAGACCATATTTTGATGGAGAATCTCCATATAGTAGTGATAGGAATAGGATTCATCTTTGTCAATTACAATACTCAAATTTATCATCTTACTAGAATCAATACCCACGGCGGCTACACAACGCCGTGGGAACTAAAGCTACAACAACATAATTTTATGGTGGCCAATTTAAATGACGACAAACTGGAGGTCATTTTGCTACCGGCAACATTGTGTGTTGAAAAGTTTTGAAAGAGAGGCTAGAGGTATTAAAATTTAATCCTGCCCGAAAGTTCCGTCATTCTCATGAGCTCATAATCAAGTGATGAAATGATATAGGCAACATTGAAATAACAACCTTCCTATTAGTCCAGTGAATAGTCGAATAATAAGCATAGTCGAACAATAGATGGCATGAAATCAACTCCTTAGTTGATGTCACTATAACACACAAACAACCGAATTCTTAGAAAATCATGGGTGCCACCTCTAGTTTTAAACCGGGAAAACTTTAGAGAACAACTTGAATAAGTGTCACATCCTTCTTACCTTCCTCTACCTCTCTGAATTGCCTCAGAATGAATGAAGTTGCTGATGTTGCTAAATTCAAGTTGACTTTACTGTCTGATGGAAACAATGCCATTGCCTTCTATAACCAAAGTCTCCTCTGCATAGGCTGCTGGGACTGAAGGGGTTGCTTCCACTGGCCAAATGGATGGGTTCTTAATGCATATGGTCCATCTCTAGGATTCCTTGTATCATGTAACCTAATATTAAAGATGTTACTATAACCCTATATGAATATCACACAATAATAAACATAAGTAAAACCATAAGTAAATGCAAACAGCGAGCTACTATAGGGGAGCCCATCGAACTTGGTTGGAGGTAAACTGTGGGCTTGAACGCTTACCCAGTTTGGAGAACTCGAGAGGAATATGCAGAGGAAGGCCAAAGCAGTGAGATGAGCTCATCCATCCTATTGTCTTTGCGGGTTGCCACAACCCTGAATACAACGGGTTCATGTTCTGGTTCTGTGTTCCTGGCGAGAATCCAAAACATGAATGTGAATCATTAAAAATGAAATTCACAAAGGCAAGTACAGCAAGCGATCATTTTTATTTTCAGTATGCGCTGGAAATGCACCTGACGTGGTCAAGAAGAGGTACCGGAGGTTTGTCATTTTCCAATTGCTGATCATACACCGCAATCGGATAAACTTCCTGTAATCTTGATGATGTTCTCGATTTGTAATCATCACCAAACTGTGAAATTTGGTCTAGATACATAAATCAGCAAAGGAATAGGTTAAACCCATGAAAGCAAGTACGAATATTGCATGCATATGAACAATGAAAAGGAATCCATGAAAGAAAACAAACAACAACCAATACAAACAAAGGTTTCCACTAAAAATAAAGTTAGGATGATTCATGATGTAAGTTAGTTAAAGCATGAGATTAAAACACTAACTGAAGTTCATCAACCTCAAAGTTATGTCCTATCTACTCTTGAATTATTCCATTGGTTAGAAAAGAGGGAGGAAATTATGCTTACTTTACTTTCAATGGAAGGTATACGATGGAATATTCTCATTTCATCAGGAGTAAATGTATAACTTATCCTTACGCTCTAATGTCATTGACTCGTGGGAATATGCACCTGCATCAGTTTCGTTCGAGGTTCATCTGCTGCTAGATCATTCATCTATTGTGTTGTACGGGAAAACCATTGGCTGCCGGCCAGTAGCAATGCTCGACTTCCCCCACTTGGCATTGAGGTGCTGAAGTACAAAAGATATCTTCTTCTTCTTCTTACTTGGAGTGAGTTCCAAGTAAGGATGTTAGCCTTCCTGCAATATCAAATGAACAATCATACATTATAAACGTCCTGGTTTGATCAATAGCGCTCAAATCTTTGGCAAGTGAAAATAGATTCCAAAGAATACCTTGGTTTCAAAAAAAAAATCTCAAATATACCCCATTCCTCCAGCATAATTCACCATACTTGTCCTTGAGCTTGAGCTGTGCATACCAACTGTCCCTTGGTTCAATCGCAGCATCAGACCCTCTGATTGGGTGTTGGGTTGATAAAGGGTTGTCAATGGCTGCTAGTGTCCTTGAGATGTCTAGTTTGATATCTGTGCTGCTTCCACTTCTGTTGCTGCAGAACACTTCTCTTTGTTAAGGTTTATTGCTTATGTGAGGCTCCCTGGCTTTTCAGTGGCAATATCTGTACTCCCCCACCCAAAATCATGCTTTGGCCAATAAAGTCAGAGACGAAGCATGGATGAAACTGGCTCAGGAAAAAATAAGAGAAGCTTGAAACATGGCTTCAGAGTTAGTACTCAGTAGCTTTTTCTCTTCTTTTGACCAGCTCTAAAAAGTTAGCTTATAGTAAAAGGAAATTTTGATTTGATGACAGGCGAATAAAAGAAGCTTTGTAAAAAGTCATCAATTGCAGGTTTCAAAGTAAGTGATTAACAATATTGGATAAAAGTTCTGAACCAAAAGCACTGTAGAGAGGGGAAAAGTAACAAAAAAATTTAACTCCTTCGCAAAGAAAGAACATGTCAATGATGTGTATGATTTGATTGCTACTAAGTTCCTTTTCCAGACCCCTCTGCCATAGTTGTGCCTTCTTTCAAGCAAAATATATCAAATCCAGAATTCTAAGAAACTGAAACACAAACCAGTGATTACCTCGGCAAGAAGCTTCTGTTCGTGGGCTTCAAAGCAATGTGCTTGGGAAAGACGACTTTAGTTCAGTTCCGATTTTGATAATGATAAAAGCAATTATTTGAGAAGATTCATCCAAATTTGTAGGAATACGAAACTCAATAGTCTAAACTGAATTACAAAGCATTAAAAGAACGCAAACTTGAAACTAAAGCAACAATGACCTTTGAGATTTCAGAAACTATAAATATGCAATTACAAATGGATCTACTCTGCAGTACCAAGGGAAACTGACGAAAAGTAGGAAAACCCAAAAAGCAAAATCGACCAAACCAAAAGGACAATAAAATATGAAATACCTGTTCGTGTCGATGATGTATCCCTCTATATCTTACTGGAGTTACATTGGAGCTGTGAGTGAAGTGATACACAAAGGCCAGTTTTATGTGATTAGATAAGTTGCTTCAAACATAGCTATAGTATGAATTAAAAGTTTTGAAACGATTATTGGCAGCAGTTGATTGTGAGACATATGGACATATAAAGTTTATCTTTTGTGAGCGATTCCAGCTCCAAGTTCAAGCACTATACACCACGATGGAAACTATATACGGAGAATGAGGACTTATTTCCGCCATGAGCACAAAACATGGTACCTGCAGTAAACAAAAGAGAGCTCATGAAGACAAACTTCACAATAAAGATGAAGATTGAATAGTAATCTAACATAAATATATAGCTCTAGTGCCACATACGCCATGGAAATAGCAAGAATTAAATGATCAAAGCAGTTGTTGTATGTACCAAATGCCTTTTCCTTTCAAACCCGCAATTCAAAAGTGAAAATCCAGCATAAACTATCCCCTAAAGAAGAGAAGCCACAAAGAAGCAAATGAATAAAAATTGAGTATAAACTAAAAACAGCAAATATACAACCTCACAAATTTAAAATCCAAACTTAATAGCTCTACTGATCTTTTAAAAAATGTTATAACCTGCATGGTCTCCCACCAGGCTCCCCTGTTCTGGAACCAAATAGCAATTTGCCTAGGCTGCAGCCCAAGAGCTCTAACCAACTGCATTCCCCCCTCTGGTTCAAGCTTGTTCCCCAACTCATAGTTCTTCTCCGATGTCTTCACTTGTTCCATGTTCAACCTCCTTTTCTTCCCTACCTGTGACCCATCATCTGACAGCCCATCGACCTGATCCCCACCATTATAACCATTTTCTAACAATCCCTGAACATGTCATGGATCTCTTCCCTAGGAATAATGTCATCCCTAAAATTTAACAAATCAATCAACCAACCCACTTCAGAATTACCATAAAGGAGCTAGAGATAAAGCTTCATTACCGTAGAAGTCCTGCAGTGCAGGAATGGAGAATTGGTTTGAGAGAATTTGGAGGCTGATGATGGTGACCTTCTTCCTCCTCATCGTGATGGGTTTGGAGTAGAAATTTTGTTTGGTAGAAAACCCATCCCATTGCAAGTCATGGACTGAAGGAACAACAATGCAAGAACATTGGCATGTCAAGGTACAAAGCAGTCGTTGGAGATGGAAGGCAATAGAACCGGGAACCATAAAGGAACCAAGAACGAAAGCAGAGAAAGACCAAAGCATGCCTGTTCATGGGATTCTGAGCTCCTCATCTGATTCCCGCTTCATAAAGGCCCTGCTCAAGTAGTCAAAAGCTCATTTTTTATGCTTTCATCCTTGTCGCACTGCAAACAGGAACCGGCAACAACCGTGTCGGAAAAGTTTATCCAGTTGAGACGAAAGATTGATCAAGCTAGCTGGGTATTGCACCCGATTTTTTGACCGACGTACCTCTCTTTATCTCCCCTCGCCGCAATTAGGGCTGACGACCAACTGACCTGCAGTTCCGATTGAGTAATGACGGCCGGGAGAGGCGCTTCCTCGTAGACGGTATTCTTGGTGGCTTGTCTACCAATGGCCAAAGCACATTGAAGCTAGAGCTTCTCCTTTTGCTGCCGGCACAACTTAATTGAATGTCGCCATCATCGCCAAAGCGTCGCCGACGTGCTCTTCCTCAGCATCTCAAACCGGAAGAGGAAGCGAGAATTGGATGTGGCCGCTTGATTTTTGTTGGGAATAGATAAGAAAGGGTGAGAGGCAAGGGAGCTGTTCTGTTTCAGCAGACTTGAGAGATGGAGAGAGATGATTGTTGACTGTATGAAAATTGGGAGTGAGTGATGTGATTGGAGAGGAAAGAGTATGGAGAAGGATTTGGCAGGGGTTGGGTGCGGCAGAAAGAGAGGGGACAGACTATGTTTTTCTCTTTTTTCAATTTTTAGTTCTTGTAGTTGTAGACTTGTAGTGGGATTGAGGAAGTGGGAACTCTTTCACTAAACGCCAAAAAATGAAATAGTAGCAAGAAGTTTTGAGCAAAAAGCGTACCTACTAATTATATATAAAAAGAATGCTTCATATATGAATAAATGTCTATTCTCAATATTTGCATCGTACATTCCCAGCAAAAATGGATAGCTAGTTAGTGATAAAGCTCTGTCGAACTAGCAAAAACTGTAAACTGTAAAAGAGCTCCACCACAAGATTATTACAATTTACAGTCTTTGATTGTTTCAATTTATCCCATGGCTATTCTGTTTGAGATATATATACACAGTAACACAGGCAACAACAAATTCAATACCAATCCTGATACTAGCTCACAATTCCTTCCCAGTTGGCAGCAAAAACCTGAAAAGATGTCCCACTGCCAAACTTGCTAATCCAACCTCGCGATTTCTCACCCCACATTGACCAAGCTTTCTTTGTAAACCAAAACCCTGCGAGCTGCACAAATATCATCTGAGACAAGTTTAATGGCCTGAGTAGCAGGGTCGAACAACAGCAACTCATGGATTCTAGAGCCACCAAAACCCCTAGCAAGAACAAGCACATCGTCCCTCCACCACCCTACCGCAAACATAAAAGGTTCTTCACGATTCCACTCGTCAGCACAAGTAGCAGCAACGATCACAGCAGCAACATCCGTCTTCACAGCAGGTGGAATAAATGGAGCAACAGTCGAGTTTTTCACCCAACACCATTCTTCACTCAGTAACCACAGGTCATAACCACCGGTACTCTCCCGGAAAAGAAAAAAAGCAAGCGCGTCCTTGTACACATGAAGCTGTTTGCAATGACCCTGAGCATACATGGTACAGTTAATGGGCACCGGGTCATTTACCACGCGGAAAACCTCGTTCTCGAGGTCGAATGCCAGTGCTGCAGCAGGAGATATACACAACCAGAAACAGAACCCATTCAAGTAATTGTAAGATTGCCAGAGGTGGAGTAGATAAAGTTCGAACCGCAACTCTTCCAGCTCCCTCCAAGTACCAGTGCCCGGTGTGTACACCACCACTGTTGCAGAAACTTCGGGAGTGGAGCGGGCCAGAAAAACGGACGAGGTGTCCATGTACGTCTGCGAGTAGTGCCGAATCATAACTATCTTGAAATCATTAGCCGCTGGATCTAGCCCGAACCCATAGCTGTCGTAATAGTGGAATCCGGTTCTCTTCCGGGGCGCCGGCGGCACTGAGATTTCCCTAGATTTGCCAGTTGCTGGGTTCCACAGGCGCACGAAATCTTTCGTCTTGCTATGTGCCATCAGGAATATGCCGTTGCAGGGTCCGGAGACAATGGGCATTTCACTTTCCAGAACTTTTGATGACACATGATCACCGTGATGATCAGGAGAGAGTAGCTTAATCCGTGTGTAGTCGTCAAAATATGGCGCCTCGCGTACCATCAGGAACTGAGAGGCAGCGCCAGCCGGGCCGTTGGTGTAGTTTCTGAGGTGCAGGGAAACCAGGTAAGGGCTCGAAATTGTGGCATTCCAACTTCTACAGACGGATTTTAGCCGTAACAGATCTCTAGCTGGGAGCCGAATCAGGATCTCCACCAGCAATTCTCCTGGCAACTCATCCACAGCAGGTTTGAACAAGATCAGGCCTTTCTCTTCCCCCTGTGAAAAAAAACATTGAGGACAGGACAGAAGCCATTTCACAAGCAAGCAGAGCCAACAAAGAACAGGGGTAAAAAAACAGAGAAGCAAATAGGCGAAGGAAGGCTGCAAAACTAAAACGGAAGCCAGAGAACCTGCAGCCGGTCAGAAACATCAAACACACACCAATGATTAGGTTTTATAAAGATCGAGCTGCGGATGAAATGCCGATACCTCGATTTTGATCTGGGTATTGCGTCTCCACGACGAAAAGGCAAAGATTACAATATTGACAACTTGTCGAATCGTGGACACTGGAGAGGTGAGAGCTGTGAGCAGAAACAGAAACACTGCCAGGACATGAGTCGCCCATTTCGTCTTATCATCCATCGCCGATCCTCAACGGAATCCGTAACAACTGCGCCGCTCGAGGATAAACGAGGAAGAGAAAGAGAGAGGGTCAGGGAGAAAAAGAAAAATAGAGGTGGCTGACAGAGGAGATGATCGACAATAATCTCATTTATTGTTTTCTCAAATCCTTTGGATTGGATAGCGAGCGTTGCCGATTGCCACTAATGAAAGGAGATGCTCAGTCGGCTGACATGCAAGCTGCTACAATCAGTTAGGGTTGTGTGAATCTGTTTTAAAACAAAAAGGGTAAACGTCATATTCCGTCACTGAGATGACTAAATCGTGTCATGTTTAGTCACTAGAAAAATTTAATATCGGTTTTGGTCACTCGAATTACTGAAACAGGTTACATTTAGTCACTCTCCCATTAGCCTCCGTCCAACTCCGGTCACTCGAATTACTGAAACATGTCATATTTAGTCATTCGAATTACTGAAACAGGTCACATTTAGTCACTCTCCCGATAGTTTCCGTCCAACTCTAGTGACTAAGCATGATACGATTTAGTAATCTCAGTGACCAAATGTGGCATTTACCCAAAACAAAAATAATAAAAAAAACCAACTAAACATGTTTTTTTCTCTCGGTTTTCACCATTTCTAAGAACACAAATGAGAACAAAAATAAGCAACAATACTAAACAGGGCCTACTATCAATATCGCGTTTCGTTGTTATTTGTACTCGTATGAGAATTATGAATAAGAACTCCCAAGCCCCAGCTGAAAGGTCCTAGAGTAGCATTCTGCACGCAAATGCGATCGCCCCAGGAGCTTTCACCCCACACTGACCAAGCTTTCTTTGTAAACAAGAACCCTGCGAGCTACACAAATATCATCTGCGACAACTTTAGTGGCCTGAGTAACAGGGTCGAACAGTACCAACTCATGGATTTTAGAGACACCACCAGAATCCCTAACAAGAATAAGCTCATCGTCCCTCCACCACCCAACCGCTAACATAAAAGGGTCTTCTCGCATCAAATCCTCCTCAGCATCAGCAGCAGCAGCAGCAGCCTCCGTACTCACAATAGGTGGAATAAACGGAGCAGCAGTCGAGTGTTTGATCCAGCACCATTCTTCACTCAGCAACCACAGGTCATAACCACCGGTACCCTCCCGGATAAGAAACAAAGCAAGCGCATCCTTGTACACGAGGAGCTGTTTCCGATAACCCTGAGAAAACATGTTATCACAGTTTGCGGGCACCGGGTCGTTCACCACGCGAAATACCTCGTTCTCGAGGTCGAATGCCAGTGCTGCAACAGGAGATATACACACCCAGAAAAAGAACCCATTCAAGTAATTGTAAGACTGGACGACGTGGAGTAGACGAAGGCTAAGCCGCAGCTCTTCCAGCTCCCTCCAAGTACCGGTGCCCGGTGTGTACACCATCACTTGTGCAGGGAATTCGGGAGAGCAGCTGGCTATAATAACGGAGATGCGGTCAGGGTACGGGATCGAAAAGTGTCGAATCATAACTATCTTGAAATCATTAGACGCTGGGTCTAGCCCGAACCCATAGCTGTCGTAGTAGTGTAATTCGGTGTTTCTCCTGACCGGCGGCACCGCGATTTTCCTGGATTTGCCAGTTGCTGGGTTCCACAGGCGAACCAAGTCTTTGGTCTTGTTACGGGCCATTAGAAATATGCCGTTGCAAGGTCCGGTGACAACAGGCATTTCACTTTCCAGGTACTCAACATGATCACCGTGATGATCAGGAGAGAACAGCTTAATCAGAGCGTCGCGATCATAACATTCCATCTCGCTTACCATCAGGAACTGAGAGGCAGAGCCAGCCGCGCCGTTGGTGTAGTTTCTGAGGTGCATGGAAACCAGGGAAGGGCTTGAAATGATGGCATTCCAATTTCTACAGACGGACCTGAGCTGTAACAGATCTCTAGCGGGGAGGCGACACAGGATCTCCACCAGCAACTCTCCCAGCAACTCAGCCACCTTGTTAACCACAGCAGGTTTGAGCAAGGTCAGACCTTTCTCCTCCCCCTGTGAAAAAAAAAAAGGAACGTAGAAGACAGAAACCATTTCACAAGCAAGCAGAACAGGGGAAAAAACAGAGAAAAGCAAATAGGCAAAGGAAGGCTGCAAAACAAAAACAGAAGCAAGAGAACCAGCAGCCACATCGAAAACCAACACATGCAGTCAGTCAGTCAGCCGGACCCGCCGGATATATCAAGGAGTGATTCGGATTCATAAAGATCGAGACGCGGATGCAGATATCAACTACTTCAATCAAATCAGGCCGCAAACAATTTATCAAGAATGAGATGATGCCGATACCTCGATTTTGATCGGGGTATTGCGTCTCGACGACGAAAAAGCAGAGATTACACTGACGACTTGTCGAATCATCGACACCGGAGAGGTGAGAGCTGTGAGGAGAAACAGAAACACTGCCAGGACATGAGTCGCCCAATTCGTCTTTTCATCCATCGCCGATCCGTAGGCCTCACCTCAACGGAATCCGAAACAAATGCGCTGTGGGTGCTCGAGAATTAACGGGCAAGAGAAACAAATGCGCTGTGGGTGCTTACAGTTACAGAGGAGATGATCGAATATAATTGTTTTAGTTTATAAAAGCTGGATACGCTTTTTCGCACACTTGCTTCTCTTACTGTTTCACTTCCTGTCGTTTAGCGACAAATGGTTGCGGGTTTCTGGCGATCCTCTTCGGCGTCATCCTCCACAGCAAACATGTGTTGACTGCTGCCGGCCCAAACCAATTCTCCAATTCTGCCTCTTCCACTACCTTTTCGTACAGCCCGTACCCGCTCGAAGCGACTGCCTTACCTTCTGCTATCGATGCTGCCGTGTTTAGCGGTGTTGCCATCTCCCACACGCCAGCCTTCCAAAATGCGCCATCGCCCATGCTTTGGGTTTGTCCTTCCTCTTTCCAATCGCAGTCTACTTTTACCCCCCTCTTACATGTCTTTCCTACCAGTTAGCGAGCCTCACTGCACATCCAGTTTCGCTTCGACTCTGCAGCCGCTCAATACAAAGCAGATTTTCGCCGTTAGCCCACCTGTCGGACAACCGCTTCTCAGTCCAGTTACGGTTCTTGCCGTTGATCGCAGCCGACCCAATTTTTACTCCAATGGCGATGCCGAAGCATGTTCTTCTCTCCAAGTTAGGATGGACTGACAAGGGACCGGTGCTGAAGCTCCGTCTTCTCCACACATGGAAAGCTGGAAACCCTAGCCGGCCAGACGGTTTCTACGAACACTCAACGCTGTGGACGGACGAATTGGTTAGTTTCTTTCCTATAACCTTCCTTTTCTGGAATTGGGAAACTCTAATAACTACATTCAACCTTTGATCCGTAAAGGGAGTCCTCATCCAGGCCGCAGCTCCGAAACACCTCTCGGACCAGCTCAACGAGGCTCTCACGGTGGGAAGAATCTACTTCGTCTCCCTCTTTACCCAGCGGGAAGCCAAACCCCGCTGGTCCTCCTGCTCTAATGACCGCATCCTTGGTTTCACGTCCAAGACTGCATTCGTCTGCTCCACCGAGGATGATTCCAATTTCTGTTTAGACAGCTTCGAGTTCCGTGAATTTGAAGCCCTTGACGGCGTGGCCGGCCAGTCAGCCCTTTTAGTAGGTAAGCTCAAATACGGTGCCACCAGCTTGCTCTGCATGAACTGTCTACTTACACATTTGATGTCTGCAGATATTGTGGGGCGATTGGTCTCAGCGACGGGTATCACCTACTTCCAGAAACAACATCGATCTATCCGAAAACGTACAGTTGTCATCCAGAACGAGCGGTAGGTAGTTTCCTGACTTCTCAATGGTCACAGAAATTTACTCTGCCCGCACACTTATTCTCCTGCTATGATGCTTGCAGGGATATGTCCATCTCGGTCACACTGTGGGGAGAACTTGCTGACAGGCTCGCTCTTCAGGAGCTAATTCAGATGGATGGTGCTGCTGCGGTTATTATTGCGTTCACCAGTCTCAACCTCTCAGTTTGGCGAGGTATGTGTTCCTATGTCGCCATTCACACAGCATAGTTGTTCACACCATTCGGCTTAGTTCACACTTTTCAGGAACACAATTGCAATTCAATTTTACCTATAGTCAGTGGTTTACGTGATCATTGTTAGGTTGTTCTCTAGCTCCCCACCTACCCTCCCTTTGCTTATGTAGAAACCCCTTGGGACATGAATACAGATAATGCCATTTGCATAAACATGTTTTTGTTCCCGCTGTGACCACATCTGTTTCCTAGGTAGTATTCATTTGCACGTTCTACCATGCCTGCTTTTCGATGCAATTCATGTGCTCATCCCTTGGTTCTCTCATTCTAGGAACACTTGGAGCGTCCAGCACCTCCGCAACTCGCATCGTTGTTAAGCCCCCTGTCCCACATACCAACTCCCTCGCACTCCAGTAAGAGAACTAGACCTCTGTGTCTTAGCCATGTCTGAACCGATACTGACAGTTTTCTTTTATTAGCTTTGCTGGAGCTGTTGGTGCACTTGGCGTCCTGCCAACTGAATGTGATACCCCGGAAAAGGCTAAGACACTGTATCGCGACTCCTTTCGAACCATTTCTGAGCTCCAGACTGTTCAGTCCGTTTCCACTATGGTTTGATTTCCACACGGGCTTCAGATGGTGGGTTGTCATTGCAACCGTCCTTCACCGACCTGACATGTGCGCTACTTTGCTCTGCAGGGAGGGAAATTCCGATGCAAGGCAACAATCACGGATATAGACATGTCGAGGGACTGGTGCTACCTTGGCTGTGCTGTTTGTCACAAGGCCGCTGTACGACACGATGCCCCTTTTTGGTGCGACAAGTGTAGCGCAACAGTTAATCCACATGAATTGAAGCACTGGTATTTCTCCATTTTTGAAAACAATTTTCACTTTGCTTTTCCAAGGCGACTTACGCTCTCTGCCTGATGTTGTCTACCTTTTTTCAATGTGCAGCTACCGCATCCGTGTAATGGTGCAGGATGTTTCTGCTTGTGCGCCTTTTGTACTCCTTGGGAAGACAGCAGAAGACCTTCTGGGAGTCTCAGCTGGTGCTTTGTTGGCTGCTGCTCCTGACCGAGGCGGCGGTTGTCCTCCAGAAATTGACTGCTTACTTGGCAAGGAATACATCTTCCTCATTAACCTGCCTATTGGCCAAGCTGCTGACTCTCTTGCCGATTTCTGTGTGTCTGGTGTTGAAAAGGAAGACCATAACGCCGCCATGGACAAGAAACCTCATGGACCGCGCTTTGCTAAACAGCTCGGCCAGGCTGTTTCCACGGTGCCGCAGCTTCTAATTGGGTTAGTTTTTCCAGACAGTCCTTGGTCTATTATTCAGTATACAATGGCTTGAACTAAGTAACTTCCTTATTTTTACTATTAAGGCACAATCACCAACCGCCAACAACTAGCTCTTCTATTGTGCCTTACTCATCGTCTACCAAGCGCCTTCGCGAGGTTGAGTCAAGGTATTACGTTGGTTTGATACTTGGGTTTGTACAGTGCCCTTTACATGCCATTTTGCTACCGGCTAACACACTACCTGTCTGTTCTTTCCCAGCGCTACCGGGCCGGTAGATCCTCTTGCTCAAGGAGGACAGCAGTTCGTGGCACCGCGTCCGACTCACACCTTGGACATGAGGTCTTTGCACTTACCTAGCCTATCCATGAATGGTCTTACTTATTGCCCAGTTTTTATGTGCAGTAACGTGTCACGCTAACTTCCTGCAGCAAGTTCACCGGACCAGCGGCACCTGCAGCCTTCAACGCAGTTCTGTCAGCTGCAGCCGCACCATCAACGCCTGCTAAGGGGTCGCCAGGTGCTGCCAGTTCCGCCCAATTGCAATCTGCCCATGATCCTAACTCACCAGGGTATGTCCTGCCTGATAGCACTTCTCATCCTCTGTGGTTGTGTCCTGCTAATATGAATTCTGGTGCACCACTTTTCCAGTTTTTTTTGCCTTATCTTTACTTCTTATGCTCTTTGAACGACCGGTCCAACACCACAAGTTTTATGGTTATGCCTGTTAAATTGTCCAAACCTGTTTTGAATCGTCGCCCTTTTGGTTGCCTTGATTCGTGTCATATCTATTATTGAAAACGCATTGAATTTAACACACCTTATGCTTCTGATTTCATGCAGCATAAATTCACCTCTCGCTGCCATCACAATTACCACCCCGAAATGCTATCAGAAGAAAAAAGGGAAGGGAACTCAGTCTATGGACTTGCTTCTGAACCAGTATGCCCAAATCCCAACTTAATTCCACTATTGCTTTGACATGCATTAGTTTCAATCACCCGCCTCTTCTCACTAGCCACATTTTGCTTTCAGTCACACCCTTCCACAAGACAACATTTCTGCTTCTCCTGGAATAGAGGTCACTCATGTCAAGAGCACTACACTCACAGTAGCATCTCTGCCGAAGGATGTCCCGCCTTCTATGCTGCCCATCAACCCGTTAAGTTTCACTCTCACTACTGTTAAACCTGTTTTCCTTGCTGCGTGTTCACAAACCATTAACTCACTACCTTGCGTCCCACGTTTACACTCTCTACCAGCCTCGGACAGCCTCTTGCAAAGGTCAAGCTGGAAAAACTGGAAGTCTCGCGCCAGAAGAAGAAAAAATCAGACGCTTCTGACGACCTTCCCCTTTCCCACCTCAAAGCTAAGGGTTCAAAGGGTAGAACTGTTGCGAAGAAACTCTTCTAAGCAGCAAATGGTCTTACTGTTGCGCTACTGAACTATGGCCTGCGTCTTTTGTCAACTAGCCGACTTAATGATTTGCTGCTCTTAGTTGTGCGTGGCCATCTTTTGTAGTTCAGTTCCTTCGGAATATCGCTTATTAGGCTTCATGTTGTAATTACGTTCTCTTATCAACTCTGTAATGAACATGGAGATTCAACCTATGCATTTCTCTTTAAAAACTACCCCTACCTTCTTCTTTGCACTTTCTTACTTTTAATGTTGCATCGTATTGGTTCCTCTTAGTTTTTCCCACTGGAAGAAACACCAAACTCAAACTTATGCCCTGTGCATAAATCAAATTTGGTGCTGCAATGCCCTACCCTATGGCCCTTTAAATTATCTCTTTTACAAATAGAAACAAATCTTTTTTCCTCTGATTTGCAATGAGATGGTGGTGGTAGTTAATTGGCCATACTTTTTCTCCTCTCAAGGATTTGATTACGTACTGACAGAAAAGATGTTGCTTATTCTTTGGTTTAACTTATGCCCATCACTCCCTTCACCTCCCATACACCTCCCATCATTGTTGCTATTCTTGGAGATCACTCATCCCTTTTTCCCCATTCCACAAAGCAAATCTCTTCTTCTTTATGTGTTGTTCTGTTTTTGTTCTATCTTTGCTTCTGCAGATTTGTTTTTTCTAAGAGGTGTTTCAACTTCCCTGTTGCTATGTGGCAAATATTCAATTGTGGAAGCCAGTGAAACACTGGATGTTGGATATGCACTCGCAGCAAACACACCTTTCATACATTACAGGTATTATCTTTAGAGCTTGCACTCTTCACTAACTTTAAATAGGATCAGCATGTTTCTATTTTCCTATCGTACATGGCCTCTACCTTTTCAAGCCTGGAATTTGTTTGTTGTTCCGAATGTATATGCCTATGTCGAACTATGCCTAAGACAACAACCTGTCACTGTTACGATGTATCTTTGCTAATTACTCAGCCTCATCGAACACCTGTTTTTGCAGATCACCACTTTTACCAACCGCTGTGATTCTATGACCAGGCCACTGCAGAGCATTCCAGGCTCAGCTGAAGCCATTTCTCGCCAAAAACGGGGAGGAAAAACACTTTGTTCCTCTTCACCACGAACTCCTGCTTCTGTCAGCATCGATCGCCGTGGAAGGAAGCCCAGGTTCACTCCAGCTCACTTTAAATCAGCAGCAACAGAGTTCCCAGATGGAGATCAGGCACCGACTCATTCATCATGCCCACCCATGGAAGCTGCTTGCTCCACTACGCCTGGCCTGATCAGGGAACAAAATCAAAGTTTGTCACCTGTTAGAATTGCACGCAAACGGAAAAAAACAGCCAGCAACTCAGCCAATGCATGTACAGCCCTTCAAAAACCACCAAACCAGCATGACCGCGCTTGGTCTGCAACACCTTCTTCTGCAGTCATACATGATCAGGCTGATTTTGCTGCTGGACCGCCATTACAGACTACAAAGGATTCCAATGGTGTGAGGCGCACTACTCCAGTTAGCCTTGGAACACGTTTTTGGAATGATGAGATTCTTGATTTTGGCCTTCCAGAATGTGTTTGTCCATACTGTGGAGCTTTGTTTTGGTATGCTGAACGACTTGATCGCCATCGCAACACGACAATGCCGATCTTTGCACTCTGTTGTAATCACGGCAAGGTTACACTCCCCCTACTTAAGCAGACCCCACCATATCTGGATGCCCTTCTGGATGTCAACGGAGGTCCAGATGCAAAGCATTTTCGCAAGGAAATTCGACCTTATAATGGTATGTTTTCCATGAGCTCTGTTGGTGCCAAACTGGATCGTAGGGTGACCAACTCTTCGGGACCATATTCTTTTATCATTTGCGGAGCAAATTATCATCACATGGGGTCTTTGTTGCCTCCGGAAGGGAGGAAACCCAGGTTTTCACAGTTGTATGTGTTTGACACTGCAGATGAGGTCGGTGACCGCCTCTCCAACTTTTCATCATCAAACCTTGCTTTGAAACCTCATATTGTTGGTGGCTTGATCAAGATGCTGGACAAAACAAATGAACTGGTTAAGAGTTTTCGAAGGGTGGCTAGAGAGGTCCAGGATCCAGCGAATCACAACCTTCGTCTACGGATCGCTGGTAGCCGGGAAAATCCTGAACGACAGTATGATTTGCCTACTGGGTCGGATATTGCAGGTTTGATTCCCGGGGACTTCAATGCTGAGGATGGTGACAGGGACATTATTATAAACCATCGAGATGAAGGGATCAAGCGCATTGAAAGCCTCAATCCTAAATTCCATGCTTTGCAATTTCCCATTCTTTTCCCGTATGGGGAAGATGGTTTTCATCTGGGAATCAAGTGTAGTCCTGTGCACAACTCTCCAAATGCAAAGAGGCAGAATGTAACGGAGCGGGAGTTCCATGCATTTAGGTTGCAGCACCGAGATTCTGAAGGACAAAGCTTGATGCGAGGAGGGAAGGCGCTGCAACATTATTGTGTCGATGCGTTCTCAACTATTGAGCAAAACAGACTAAAGTTCCTGCGCCTCAACCAGAAATTACTTCGAGCTGAATTATACAAAGGAATTTGTGATGCTTACAGTAAGGGCGATACAACTGGTGAAGGCATTGGTACAATTCTGCCAGCAACATATACTGGTGGTCCTCGCTACATGAAGCACCAGTATCTTGATGCCATGGCAATCTGCAGGCGAATCGGAAACCCTGATCTCTTTATAACTTTCACCTGCAATGCACAGTGGCCAGAAATCACCCAAGCTTTCCAGAATATTATCGGTCTCAAACCTGAAGATAAACCGGATGTTGTTGTTCGTGTATTTAGGATGAAAGTTGCCGCTCTGAAGGAACAGATTCACCGTTATCAATTCTTTGGCAAATCAGTTGCAGGTTAGTAGTTACTTTGCCATACTATCGTTTCAAACATAGCAGAACCATTGGTAGGCTGGTCTCTTTTTGTGTTACAGAAGAAACTACCAAGTCATGTTACTGCAGTTTCTCAATACAAATGATCTGATCACAAATCGCATTTGACAACTTTTTTCTTACAAACTCTATCTAACTATTTTCCTTTCCATGTCCAGATATACATACGATTGAATTTCAAAAACGTGGCTTGCCGCATGTGCACCTTTTGGTCTGGTTGCACGAGAATAATAAGCTAAAAACTACGGAGGCCATTGATGCAACCATATCAGCTGAGCTTCCAGATCCAGAAAAGGACCCTCTGGGGTATGCAACTGTTGCTAAATTCATGCTCCATGGACCATGTGGCCAGGCCAATCAAAGATCACCATGTATGGTAGAAGGAAAGTGCAAAAAGTTCTTTCCAAAGCCTTTCAACGCAACCACTACGTACGATCACAATGGATATATAGTATATCGTCGTCGCAATGATGGTCGCACTTTTGACAAAGGAAATGGCATACTAGATAATCGTCATGTGGTACCTTACAACCGCAACCTGCTGGTCATGTTTCAGGCACACATAAACGTCGAAATCTGCCACAAAGGTAGGCTTATCAAGTACCTATTCAAGTATGTGACAAAGGGGCATGATCGTGCCACGGTCGTTGCTGAAAACTGCCCTGCCCAACAGCCACATGCTTCACAAGGTCCATCTAAAGAGCCCCGGGATGAGATTAAGCAGTATCTTGATTGTCGTGTTCTGTCCTCTTTTGAGGCAATGTGGCGGATCTATGAATTTCCCATACACGAGAGATCTCCAGCCGTTGTTTGTCTTCCTGTACACTTGAAGGACCAACAACCAGTTGCATATAATCCAGCTGTATCTCTTCAGTCAGTTGTGGAAGATCCAGAAAAGGCAAAGACAATGTTGACAGAGTTTTTTACACTCAATCGGATAGACCCTGCAGCCAGATCACTGACGTATGCTGATATACCTGCATCTTATACATTTCATCTACGACCGAAACACTGGTCCAGGAGGAAGAAAGGATATGTGATAGGCCGAATTGTTTTCATCCCACCCGGTACGACAGATGTCTATTTTTTACGCATGTTGCTTACAAAGGTGGCTGGCCCCACAAGCTTCGAAGACCTCATGACAGTTGATGGCCGCCTCTGCAAGGACTACAAAGAAGCGTGTATGCTTCGTGGCTACCTTATTGATGATGGCGAACCGGAAGCAACCATGGTTGAGGTCGGCCAATGGGGAATGCCGGCATTGCTAAGATCTTTGTTTGTGATGATACTGGTACATTCCGAAGTTGCTGATCCAAGAAAGCTGTTTGAGACAAATTGGCGCCTCTTTGCAGACGACTTCTCATATCAAACCAGACGTACTTTGGATATGCAGTACTTTCAAGCTCCGGATCAGTATTTGCGGAATGAGGTCATCAAGCACATTGAGGCTCTCTTACACACCCACTGCAGGTCTCTTGATGATTTTGGGTTGCCGCCCCCCGCTGATTTGGGCCAAAATCTGGTTGGCAATAGGCTGATATGCGAGCAACTCAATTACGATGTCTGTATGCAGCAGCGCACAGCAGAACAAATTTACTCAACATTGAACCGGGGACAGCAAGACGCGTATCACAACATCATGAACTCTGTAGACGAAGGGGCTGGCAAGTTTTTTTTTCTCTACGGCCATGGCGGCACAGGGAAGACGTATTTATACAATACAATCATAGCTAAACTGCGCAGCCAACAGAAGATCGTTCTGGTTGTTGCATCCTCGGGCATTGCAGCTACCTTGCTACCCGATGGGTCTACCGGCCATTCCAGGTTTAAAATTCCAATCAACATTGATTGCTTTTCCACCTGCAAGGTTAAGAAGGGAACTCAGTTGGCAGAATTATTACAGCAGACATCGCTAATTGTATGGGACGAGGCACCAATGACACACCGATTCTGTTTTGAGGCTCTGAACAAAACCCTCTGCGATCTCATGGGTGTGCCCTTCAGTGGCCCTACCTTTAGGCCATTTGGTGGAAAAACAGTGTTGTTGGGTGGGGATTTCAGACAAATTCTGCCAGTCATACCCGGTGGAGGGCGCGAGGAAACTCTTAATGCATCAATCATCCGGTCTCCGTTATGGTTGCACTGCCATCTGCTCTGTTTGCAGCAAAATATGCGCATCAATCACGATGTTATCAATGAAAGACTGGTTTTTGATGGCATGACATTTCCGCAGTGGGTGCTTGCGGTTGGAAATGGAACTGTGCCTGCTGCCTCCTTAGATGACAATAATGATCGAGCCTGGATCAACATCCCCACATGTCTGGTCCTGCCACCTAATGGTGACTCAATTGCTCCAATTGTTGATTTTGTCTTCCATGGCCTCCTTGACTCATACAGGTCAGTTTCCTTTCTCAAGAACCGCGCTGTCATAACACCGACAAATGAAACAGTTTCCAGAATCAATGCATCTGTGCTTTCATGCATTCCTGAGGAAACAAAGACATACTACAGCACAGACAGTTTGTGTACCGAATCGACAGATGATTCGGAGCTTGAAAATCTCTACCCTGTCGAGTTCCTCAATTCTCTGGTCTTCAATGGAATGCCTGAACACGAATTGTCTTTGAAACTCTATACACCAATCATGCTGCTGAGAAACATCGACCCACCTGCTGGTATGTGTAATGGAACCAGACTCATGGTAGTACATCTTGGTACTAATGCCATTAAGGGGATTATACTCACCGGTACATACGAGGGCACAGTTGTTGCCATACCCAGAATTGCTCTCAACTTCAGTGAACATAAATGGCCATTCACAATGAAGCGCAGGCAGTTTCCAGTGCGCCTTTGTTACGCCATGACGATTAACAAGAGTCAGGGCCAGACTCTGGATCGTGCAGGAGTCTTCCTACCAAAACCTGTTTTTAGTCACGGCCAATTGTATGTTGCTATTTCCAGGGTCCGGTCTGCAGCGGGTCTTAGATTTCTCATACACAATGATAGCAGCCTGCCCACCAACTGCACGAAGAACGTCGTCTACACAGAATTGTACTCTGAACTGATCTTCCAAGGTAACAGTGAAGGTTTTTTTTTTAACTCCAGACTGCATATATCTTCGCCTTCTTTACCATACATATTCTCATACCATTATTTGTATAGCAGAACCTGGACCTGAGGAGGAAATCAGTGGTCATCATGCACACTAGATAGGCCTGCTTAACTATCCACAAAGTATGGTCTCCTATGCTCACTCACGATACATGAACTGCTTTTTTCCAGCATACACATACCGTTGCTTTGGTTTGCAAAAAACTTAAAAGTTCTCTGTTGTCTCAGGTGTGAGGAGCCTTGGACAAACTCACTTTTGTCTTTCACTGCGGATAAGTCCATATGCACATCTTCTTCCGGATCTTATGCAGTAAAGCTCTAACTACGACAAGGTTGCCGCTCCTGTTTGATTGACATCGTGTTCGTGCTAGATTTTGCCTGCATAAGTTTGCCTGACCAAGCCTGTACAGTGTGGTTTTGCAATTCTGTCCCGCCACACCTGTGTACTTTTACAGTGCCATTTTGATTTTGTTTCTACATCTACGGGAAAGTCAATGTTGAATCGGAAACATGATTTCTTTGTTTTAGAAAAGTACAGAACACGGCAACACGCCCTGGTGCTTTTAACGTATCTGGTAAAACGAAACCAGTGATGTATCTTTATGTGCTTCCTATTGCCTCTTTGGAAAGGAATCAGGCATATTTTGCTCATGTATGCCGCACACCTGCAGATTGATCATTACTTTGCCATCAATTTCTATGTGCTTTCTGTCTCGCTGTTGTTCGCTTATCTCAGTGCTGTGTAATGAACTTCTCTCATTGTAATGGCACCTGTTGCTCTTTCCTGCGCCATGGAATATCGTGTTCTGTTTAGAATCTCCAACTACAATCTACTTACATAACACCAGTTTTTTACGCCTATAGATCCTTACCAACCCATGGACAATGGCTACCTAATGAGAGAATGTAGTTGAAAATGCATGACTATTCAGGCCCTTACCTCAGAGCCAGATACACCCACCCCATTTTACGATTACACAAGTCCCTGCGGCGTAGCCGCGGGTATTGGTTCTAGTCTCATTTATAAGGAAAACTTTTGGATGGAGTCTGACATGGAGGAGGTTGTTTTAATACTTTTTCATATATAAAAGAACTGCATCGTGGCTACTTATATTCATCTCTTTGTTAAGCGAATAGCTTCCTTGTACTACATGGCTTTATCGTTGAGATATGTGTTCTGTTCTGGGGAATTCGAACCATGAGATCTGCTTCCATTCTGGTAAATGATAATCTCCTCGAGCTCGAGCTCCTCTTTTCGCGCCAGATAGAAAAGGGCAAGGACGATCATAGGTAAGCAAAGTACTGTTCATCTGTCATCGATCTAAAAATGCCGTTGAGCTGCTTCTGGTAAACGATGATGGTATAACTAAAGAAAGCTGTCTCATACTTTCTTGTTGTTTCGACATATAACACAAGAATGGACAGATGGCTTAATACTTAAGGAAGCCTTCCTAATCGTGAAACAACAACAACAACAAACTTGATTCTCAAGCGTGAATCGTGTGTACAGCATTAATCGTCAGTGAAAAACTTACAGCCATTTCCTTTCCTCTGCTTAAGGGAGGGAGGAAGGAAGGCGAGAGACGAATTCGTACAACTAGAAGAAACAGCACTCACCAGTGCCGCTGCAGCAACTAGAGTAATGATGATGATGATGAAACTTGAATTGTGGAAAGGCCAACAGAAGGATCTCGGGTTTGGTTGAACGATTGGTCGTTGCAAGAATCCGATGACCAGACAATAGTACAAATCCATACACCGAAGCTGCATTTCGTGGGAGAAAGACGATCAAAATGGCTTCTCGAACCCCTGTGGTGTTGGCTGCTCCCAATCTGGTATGAAACCTGCAGGAAAATGTTGTGAGTGTTACCAACCTACAAGAGAATGCCAGGGTAATGAAACAAATGCTATTGATAGGAGTATGCCCTTAGCAAGGGGACCAAGAAAGACTCCAAAGCACAAAACTAGGAATCATCAACATCATCCATCTACCTTGTTTCGATAGCTCTATCACCTATAAAATGAACTCATTGGTCATATACACGGGAGCTGAACCCTAAAGACAGTTCCTTTAGATAGCCCTATCACCTATAAAATGAACTCATTGGTCATATACATGGGAGCTGAAACCTAAAGATAGCCCTATCACCTATAAAATGAACTCTTTTCGATTCTCTCAGCACATGGGTGAACATGAGCAAAAGTCTTGCTGAACTCCTCAAGCAAACATGAAAGGAAGCAAAACACTGAATTTAAATATCAAACATACTTAATGGTATTTCTTCAAGGGACGTATAAATCGAGTCATCATATCCAAGAGTTCCCTGAAACAAACAAGAGTGAGAGGGCAGTTATTTGACCCATAAAGTTGAACAGTTTGCCTATACGTTCAAATGAACCAGCAAGGTTTTGATAATGTTGAATGAAAGAAAATTTCCAGTCAAGTGCTTCTAGTACTTTAGGTACCTCTGCATGAAGGCCCATTTCAGTCTGCAGTGGGTTAATGCCTTCAGCTACCGACGTAGAGCTTGAGAAACTGCTAAGGAACTCCGAGATTGTAAGGCCATCATAATTATCTTGAACATCATTTATATGGCCAGATGCTTGTGCATTGCCGGAAAATCCTTCCGAGCCACCAAATTCAACTTCCATCCTGAAAATATGAACTAAAAGTCCAAATGAACTTGCATACTAACAATCAGAAATAAAACATTATCCAGATGAAACAACAGAATAATACAAGAGAAAAACCAGAGGCGCGTACTTATTCTGTGAACTTCCAACAGCCTCATCTTCTGGAGGGGAATCATCAATCTCCAGATCAATTACTTCTATCTCCTTACCGCTACTGACATGCTTAACATATTGATTAGGCATCCTTGCATTACTCATCGACAAATCAGCATCCATCCTTGCTGTTGCTCTTTGGGAAGGCACACCAGGTGGGAATATAAGAACTGGCTCATTGTCCGTATTGTCATGGATATCGGAAGATTCTATCAGGTTTAAGTCGCATATCTTGAATGAACCAGGAAACTGCTGCTTCTCTAGATCATATTCGTCATCAATATTCTCTGGGCACTCATGACTATTGCCCAAACTACTTTCGGTTATCAACGACGGCTGAGCAAGTGATACCACTTCCTCTTTTGGAGTCACAAGATTTTCTGCTAATTTATTGGCAGCATTAGGAACAAAGGTGGGAAGAAGATTCTCTCTAGGTTTCTTCTGTTGCTGACTCGTATCACTGTCATCTGCAGGACGCTTCTCACCTCTTTCCTTAACCGAGCTAGACCTTCCAAACTTCACTGCTTCATTGCTCGTTTCAAACTCGCTATCAACATCAAAAACTCCATCTGAAAAAGACCGAGACCTGATGCACTTGCCATGCTCCGATCCATATACTGGACTTACTTTGTTATCCTCCTCAGCACACCGAAGAGGCAACAGTTGAGATAATTCAGCTTGGGAATCCTTTGGATCGTTCATCTCGCTTACTTCTTCAACAGTAGTTGGAAGGGGATCATCAAAGGCAACATCTTCATCTAAGAGATCTGAGCCTTTGGGCGGTACAGTTTCCAATATGTCTGCTCCATTACTAGAAGCCTGATCAACCTTGGGAACCTTGCTGGTCAATGCAGACCGTATTTTTGTCGGTATCTTGACAAGGTTGCAGAAAGCTAACAAATCAGATCCATTCTTGCTTGAGATATCATCCTCAGGAACAGTTTGCTTCTCGCTCTCATCATTGTTCAAATCCTCCATCTCTTCATTCGCGAGATTCAAGTCCGTTGAATCTTTAGACCCCTTTACAACTTCAGTATCAGACTCTTCTTTCTCAGCACCAGAAGAGCTTGCCTTGGAAACTGAATTATCACGGGGAGAATTGTATTTCTTGAATCTGGATTCGTCGACATCAGCTGCTTCCTCTTTCCCTCCCAATGCATTATTACGAACTGATACATGCGATTTATCATCCGTACCCTTACCTCCTTGTTCCACTTCATAGTGACCCTCCCCTTCAGGTGACTCCCGATTTCTCTCCGACCCAGAACTACTCCTTCCAGAGTCTCTCGCCCACTCAGAACTATAACTCCGGGAATAATCACCTCTTCTCCGCCCTTTAAACTGATTCCGAGAACCAAACTCATCGGTATCTCTTCTGTCACTTGAGCCTGCATCAGAAGAACCAGTACTTAATCTTGAGTGGACGGATACCCGGCCTTCTTGCACTGGCGGGGGCTCTTGCTGTAGATAATCAGGAGCCACTTTCTTCAAGGTACCATTCTGCCACTTCCCAGCAAGTGCATTCTGAGGTAACATACCTTTGGAGACTAGATACTCAGCAGCAAGCCTACCAGCCTCCATCAAGATCTCGCCTTTCCGAGGCGGTAAATGGGGTGGTTGCGGAAAGGCTCTTTGTTGTTGCCCAGGACCATGACGATGACCTCCACGGGCAAAGCCTCGATTGCGGAAGGTTCTGTACTCAGAGTTGTAGAACCCATGACCACCACCCCTAGCTGAACCATCTGGGGACATCCTTGAGCCCCCGCCAAAGCCCATCCCCATAGAACCTGACCTATTGTAACCATTTCCAGGACTTCTATGCCTAGCATGCATCTTCCCCCTCTTTCTAATCTAATTCAACTAAGAAACCAACCAGGAAATGAAGCTATTGACGACATGCGAAAGAGTTGCAAGTTCACAACTTTCAATTAGGCAGCCCCTCCAAACTACCCTTCAATATTTCCAACCCCACCAAGTCAAGTTGTGATCCCCACACCCAGATTCCAAAATGACCCAAACCCCAAACCCTGCAAACAAAAGTAAAGATGCAAGCTTTAAGCTAAAAATACGTTCAGTCACCACGATCCCAGTGAATTTGTCCAGATCGGCAGAGGAAAAATCGAAATTAAACCAGCAGATGTTGTAGATCGGGCTCCAAATATCTGGGTTGTTTCATGAACAGTTGAAAATCTGACCTTTACTCCAACGTTCAGGCCAAGTGCGTATAGGGTTTTGACCCAAGTCAAAAGAGCCTCCAACTGTCCATCTCTGTTGCAGTTTTTTAGGGTTCGCGAGGTAGCAAGAAGGCAGATTTATTGAATCCCACAAGTTCCTTCTGCGTCGTCTTCTTCTTCACCACCATCATCACCAAGTACAATTGTCCAGATGGAAGTAAACCCTAACAGAAATCGGGGGTCATCTCCAATTCAGAGGAATGAGAGTTCAGAACTCGTTGGTTGATATCAGGGGGGAAAGTAACCGCAGAAATGGTAATGGCAGGCAAGGCAAGCGAATCAGAGAGAAGCCTTGCTGGTGGATTTAGCTTAGCTTTGGCTAAATGCTATTTTCTTTATCCTTCTTTCCGTCACTTATTCCTGCACTTCTTCAGCATTTCTTCCGTATCGGCACTGTTTGGTTCGCCTCCCCTCAAAATCTCTTGAACAAGAAGATTGTGGCCAACCAACAACCAACGTTTGTTTTGGGTTGGGTGTGGTTTTCTTGACTAGACTTTAGGACCTCGGTTTATTTTCGCCTTTTTCCCAACAAAATGCACAAATTTAAGAATGCGGAAGAAAAATAGAATAGAAAAAGGTACAAAAGTCGGCAATGGCTGGCTTTTTTAGACTAGGTTTTTTATTTATTAACACATGACCAAAATGGAAAGAGTATGATACAAATTAGTTAGTAGATTGAGGGTTTGAATCCAACAATGAAAGGGCGTCCTAGCCTCCTCGGCACAAGAGTTGGCAAACGGATGCTTTCCACCGCAACCTACAAATATATCAGCTCGTTTTTTCATATTTATTAATAGGTTCGAATAAGAGAAAATAAATGTAATGAAAGTCTAAATTTTCATACTTGATCTTGACAAATTAATTCTTATCTATCTTATGAAAACACGAGACATGTCTAGTGAAATACGACCCTTCATAAGTGAAGATCTGCGGACTCTAGAGTGGAGTTTGAGTCGAATTGGAATCCATTTATTACTTTGAATAGTTAGGAAGATATATATTGGTATCAAGATAGGTGCAATTACACATTGATAAAATGCAAGATAAAGGTTTGATAAAAAAAAATGCAAGATAAAGGTTAGTATAATTCAAGATGGAGATCCAAAAGAAACTAATCTAACATTACTAAGGACTGAATAGCTACCATCTTCAACTTCGGGGACTGAATCGGAACTATTCCATGTTCCCCACTTTGGATGTAAATAAGCCCATAATTTATTAAATTTCCCGGACTTAATCTAATGGCCCGAAATTCAAATTTTTAGTAACCCCACTTTGCCACATTTCCCCCAATCCCAAACTAACGGGCAACGGCATACATACACACACACAGTTCTTCTTCCTTCCCACTTCCGTCAGTTCCAAAGATAAACAAAAAAGTTACAATCTTTCGCTGTGCTTCTCGCACGGATGAAGCAGCCACTGTTCTCGTCAACTTCCCGGAGCCGAATCCCCCGGCGGGAAGGAAACTCCACTTCCTCCAGCTCGTCGAAGATGACGACCAAGAAGAAGAAAGAAGGAAGAGAAGAACAGGGGAACAGCAGTGGCAATAGTAATAATAGAAACCCATTTCAAGATCTCAGCAATGGCGGCAGCTTCGTGGATGTCAGTAGCAGCATGGGTACGATTAGTTCTTCTTCGGTTTCCTCCATTGAAGCTCCTAGATGCTGTCTCAGGTTCTTTCTCAATCACTCCGCTGCTTCCACTTCAAAACCCCAGGTCAGTAATAGAAACAATCATAGTAACAATCACACACCGGTGAAATTCAATTCCATACCCTGCAAAACCCCGAATTCGGCCCCTAGTTCGAGACCCAGTAGGCGAAATTCAGAGAAAGTTAAAGGGATCGCTTCTGCATACTTGTGCAAGCGGCAATCTGGGAAGAACCCTAAACCTAATTCCAGGGTTTCAAAGTTGGCAACTATGGGGAATCCTGTGAGCAATTTGGAAAATTCTGGATCTGGAGATAGAGGTTGTAGTGTGGAGGTACCGAATTTGACTCCATTGAGAATGATTGTAGCTGGGTCTAGTTTGAATGTTACAATGAGTAGATGTGAGGAAGGCAGTAGCTTGAATTCGAATTCAGAGAGCAGCAACACGAAAACGCCTCCACTTCATGCCTCGGTGTCTCCAGAGATACAACAACCATGTCAATCGTCGGCGATTTCGACTGCTGCCACCAACCGGACTACTGCTACTACGACACCAGTTTGTTATGGTGCTGGGCATCTTCTCTCAGGGGTTACCGACAAGAGAAAGTGTCGGCCTAGGGGTTTACTTGTAGTAGGGGAAGCTAAACCTGTTGATAAGTTTGACATTGATGATGATCATGATGCCGATGATGTTATAGTAGATGGTAATGAGATCAATCTTTCACCGTCGAATTCTCCTGTCAAGGCTTCAATGCATTGGCTCCTGTCGCCCGTTAACAAGGAGAATGAGTATAGTTCTGGAAATGGTGGAGCACAGAACACTGGGGGGAGAATGAGACGTGCTTCTTCTGTCACATCTTCTGATATGGACATATCTCCTCTAGAAGAGAAAATCACTGGCTGTGGTGTAGAAGATAGGTCTCCATTCTCCATGGACTTATTGTGCAGTGTCAATATAGTACAAACCCCAGAATCTGACTCTGGAGAGAAAGGCAAGAAAAACAATCATGGCTGGGGCTTCGAATTGGATTCAGTCGATCAACATTGGCCAGTTAGTTCATCGTTCCGGTTCGATTTGCCAACTACAACTCCCCATTCTGTTGTTGATCTCTCACGGTTTCAGAACCCTCTCGACATCAGGGAATCCCAGCTTTCCACTTCCACTTTCGATGATATGTCGCATTCTGAAGTCAGAATCTCGTGGAGAGACGGGTTGGTGAGTCGGATCTTTGAGATGGACGAGCTGGATTGCTGCTGCAAGTGTTTATCCGACGAAGAAGAGGATTTAGAGGATGAACCTCATCAAACTCACAAGATCGATCTCGATATAGAGGACATTCGAACATCGAATGCATCAATTGAATCTTCTGCTGAAGGGCAACATCATGTGTTAGATGGGAAAGCTGAAGATGGTCTTCTTCTTCCTGCTAAGGTCTCTTGTGATCTGCCTGCAGAGTCTATGAACATAAGTACTGATGGTGGTGCTCTATTTCGATCTGATGACTCGGATTGGACACAATGTTACAAGAATCAACTGTTCAAGGTGTAGATAAGCACTGAGTCTCTTTGTTGTAACCTTCAAACTGTTAAAGACCAAACACTGTATTTGTTCTTCCTCGATTTTCAATCATATTTATATGAGTTGCAGTCTTTGTTTCTTCAAGCAATATGGTCTGCGCAAAATTGAAATTTGTTGAATTTTTTCTTTTAAATCTAATTTGCTAACTAAATCTTAATTCCGTTGTGTTCAATTATTCGTAATTCGTATAAAATGTAGTTACACAATGCATAATTATTGGACACAATGACACATATTCAGCTCCTTTACTCGTACAAGTCAAATTTGATAGAAATCCTAAGATTAAGAAATGAGTTTGACCTAATCAAAACGTGTATAATTGCTTCATTTCCATCACTCGTTTAATTTCAATGCCAACAACAAGAAGATTTTCATACCATTGTGCAGTTTGGTTTTAGCATTGAAGTATATAGTAACAGGTAATATTTTCTTTTATTAGGGCGACATCAATTAATTTTTATTATTACTTGGTATCTAAATGATTTGAATATGAGAACTCTAGTTGAAAACCAATTATATAAACTGTTAGACCTCTGAGGTAACATCCATCAATGGGTATTATTACAATGTACTTGTATTAAGATTACAAGCATGAAGCATGTACATATAACAAGACAAGAAAATGTAAAATCGTCCTATAATAAAATTGAACTCGAAAAACATCAAAACAAACACAACTAACCTTCAAACCATCAAACATAGTAAAAAAATAACATTTAACTAAAACATAACTATTGAAACACACCATTCGATTGAAACATTTGAACATAGAATGATTCAAAGTGTCCAGTTTTTTTTTTTTTTTTTCAACTTGCTAGAATTGAGAAAGTCAAATCGCCGGCGGCCAGCTAACAATTTGGTGCCACAGATGCTCCATTGATTTTTATTCTTATGTGTATTTGGACAGACGCTCCCTACGAATTAATTAATGCAACTACTAATCTTCCCCGAGACTCACGCAGCTAAACATCCGCCGGTGGCTCCGAAACCTCACCATCTCCTGCTGCTTCCCGCCGCCGGCGACGACCACGGACGAGCTCCTCCGCACGACCGCCGGCGATCCGTGACGCTCCGGCGCGAAATCTCCCGCCGTCGACATGTACCGGCGATGGCCCCCGTCGCCGCGGCCGCCCTGGAACTCCGATCGGGGAGGAGGAATGTTGGTGTAGAGAGACGGGACGTGGTCGGCGGCGCTGATGAGGAAGTCGGCGGCGTTGTACGGCTGAGCGGCGGCGCCAGAGGAGAGGCACTCGTAGTGCTGACGTGTTTTGTTCCTCTTGAACGCCCGGCACACCAGTGGAATCAGGCCGTCCATCGCTCCTCTCTGCGGCTGCAGTGAATCGATTCTTTGCCGTGCGTCGACCGTCTCCGGCGAGAAGGGTAAGATGAGAAAGGGGAAGGAAGAGAAGAGAGAGAGAGAGAGAGAGAGAGAGAGAGAGAGAGAGAGAGAGAAGACAGAGTCCAATTGCTTCTTCTTCTTTTTCTTCTCTGGCAGAGGTTTTGTTGGCTTCGTTGAACAGAGCAAATGGCAGAGTGGTTAATTAACGCAAGTGTCGTCTTCTAATTGCTTTCCTTTATTTATTTGGTAGCGTTTTTTTGTAATTGATTTGGTTGCACACGGTATATTACAGATATCTAAATTGTTAAGAAAATGAATTCATAGAAATTCATGAATTTTACTTCCAACATTTTATTAAATTATAAAATCTACGGTGACCGAACAAAAGCACATAAAGTTTAATCGAACTGGTCGGTGCATTTCGAAGTATGATACTATAACATGTACGTGCGATTGTTGTTTCTGATGAACAACTAATTAGAGACTAGTCAGACATGTTGTGATTGACTATTTCAAAAGATAAACAAAAACGTAGGTTGAATTGAAATTATATCTCTTGAAATTTATAGCGTGAAAAGAGGATGAAATGAAGGAAAGTTAAACGTTCGTTCATGTCACCCTATCTAAATTGCAACCTTCTAGATCAGAACTGCTAGTTACATACTGTTTGGTACCAAATGAATCAAGAATTCATTTCATTGTAAAATGAATTACCGTTTAGAATTCATTCTCAAATGAAATCTTGTGTTTGGTATGTCATATTCAAATCTTTAGAAATACAATAAATAGCGGTGTAGAATTCATTGTCAAATGAATTCCTGTGTCTGGTATGTCATATGTATAAGTAATTTAGTTAATAAAATAGGATAATTATATCATTCTATTAAAAACTAGGTAGACCCGCTCGCGTTGCTTCGCGATGAACGAACAATGTGAAACAATGATAGGAAAAAAAAAACAGGCTGCAAAATGGATTGAAGATGATAAAAGAAACATTAGAGGCTCTTACCCAACCAAATCGTAACCCATTGTTTGGACTGAATTGCAGCACCTGAAGTAAATACCTTATTTGGCCGACTACAATTTTGGCTAGTGGACAGTATCTCAGGATTTATGAGTTAGAATGATGCGCAAAACATCCTAATTGACATAATATATTGATATTCAATTAAGATAGCTATCGTCAACAACTCCCTTGACAATCACCTTTTACACGGCTCGAACAACACTGGATACAACAATATATAGAAACCAAGAAATCTAAAAAGAAAGTGAAAATGGATGAGCGGGGATCAGGCATAGATTGAACTTCAGCTGGTGATAATTAAAATACCTAGAAAGCAATTACAGAATTTAGTTAGAAATCCATCCCAAAAAATCAGTCAAATGAACCTATCAAAAATCATATGGCATCCATAGACATAAATGGATAGTAGAGGGTAAGTTCCATGTATTAGGGATAAATCTTTATTCATGTTGACGCAAGTTTCCTTGTCCTACATGAACCTGTACAATTGTGGGTATAAATGCCCCTTCTCAATGTCAATACAAACACACGATTCACATTCCTCTTCGTTGCAGTCTAGAATTTCGGCGCCCACGATCAGCGTCGAGGCTCCTGCTGTCCAACATGTCCGACAACAGCTCGGTCACGTCAATACAAACACACAATTCATATTCCTTACATCAAGGAGCCAACAGCTGGGCGCAAAAACAACCTATTGAAACACTATAGCAATTCAACTTACAGAATAAGTAGGAGTAACTATCATGAACCTGTGTTTATATATAAGATAACATCATACTAATAAAAAAGAAATTGATTAAAGGTTAAAGAAAAATTTATGAACCACACGCCACAGGAAGTTCGGTTTCTTCATCCCATGGCAACATATGTTCATCAATTGAAAGAAACTGTGGATTGAGGAGAAATTGACATGAAAGACGGTTGCTTTAGTTTAAGGAACTTTATTTTTATCCTCCTCTGTGATTCCATAATACCAATAAAACTTCTATTTCTATTCAATTACAGAATGCTAAGAAATTGAGTCCATTTCAGCCTAGAAATCTCACCAATTTAAATGTTGCAGAATAAGATGCTTACAGTTCAGCCTATAAGTCCTCAAATGCATACCTGCAAACCCAGGCATAAAAGCAAGCAATCTGATTTGTAATAAAGCTCTGAGCTGACATTGTAAGCAAGCAAAGAGTTTTAGATATAAAGAGGCGCGAATAGATGTAAACCTGGAGTTCAGCAGTGTTCACTGAGCAGCTTAAGAAAGCATAATCAACCTCGCCGAACCTAAAACAGAATGAAAATGGCAGTGCACTGTAGGGGTCGAGCAAATAAAACAAAAAAAAGAACATATAAAAGATTTTTAATGGGAAATAGCAATTATTATGAACGTGTAAACTTGTTCATGAGAATAGTGCCAAGTCTAGCCATGGCATCCTGATAAGCTGATTTTTATCACCATCTCTCTAAGGTTACAAATTCAACACACACAAAATGGCAGCATGCTGATACACCATGTTCATTCTTTGTCATATCTTGAAATGGCTTTTGCCAATCACTTTTTTCAGTATTGGTCTTAGTGGCAAAAATAAACCACACAAAGAAAAGGGCAACACAACCAAAACCGAATGCTAATTTAACATGTAGATAATGCATTACTGGCAACACTTGTATCAGTACTTACATTCAGTAGGTAGCTCCAATAGTCTCAACTTCATTGAGATATGAGGAATGTGATGTTAAATGAAGAAGAATAAGTGATACTGCTGTCAAGTAGAGTAGTCTAGTTAGTGTAGTCATATAAGGGGGGAACAACCCCTAAAGGGACATAATTACCAACAAAGGGGACAAATCTGCAATGTAAAGGCAACTGCACACAAAATGGAGATCACGACATTATGTGTGATGGTTCAATTTTGTCCAGTCCTACCTTCTCAAGAACACTTAGAAAGCAAGCAATATATTATTGCACATCAACATTCATAAACCATAAAAATACTCAGATTCATGAAAATAGTAGTATCTAAGGTAGAGCAAAATAAAGATTACTTCTGTCATAGCAAAAACTGCAAAATTCACAGAGAACAGTGGCTAACCTGGACCTACTTCAAAAGCACATATATGCTTTCTGGAGTTGCTGCTCCCAATCAACTGTCCTCTCCGGAAGTTATAGTACAGGTACTCCAGTTTTTGGTTAATCCAAAGGCAAGCATTACCTGCACATCTATGCACCACATACATTTAATAGATAACCAAAACGACCATTTTGATCTCAATACTCAATAAAAAAAAGAACACAGACCTTGAAATCCCATGAAGAGGTCACACGTAAGGGAACTGACATACATTTTTTTATGGAGTTAGACTCAAAGGACAGTTAGAATAGGGGAAGTCCCCTAATTATGTTTCCACACAATTATTAATCAACCTGCCATCTGTGAAAGACCTCTACCGAGTTCTCCACACTCGGAAATCAAACGAAAGGGAAAAAGAAAGCTTAAATGGGTCGATCATGGACGTCAATGCAGATATAGAACCCAAAATACTAAAAAGGTAGAATCGAGAGTTCACGTTTGTTTATGCAACTCCCTAGACTCTTCTCACAGTAAATCTGGAAAATTGAGAAAGAGAGTCCTAAAATAGAAGTTCCTCCACCGAATGAATCTTTGACAACAACAAAACTAATTAGATCAAAGTGAAACGGAGGGAGAAACTTCAAATGATGTTTCTGGTTCGCTTGCCCGCTCTGACGACTCTAAAGTTCAGATCGATTGTAAACTCTAAAATACCGAATCGCTATCCGAAATAGCAAACAAAAGCGATGAATCAGAAAGATAAAACAGGACAGATTACCAGGGGGAGAAGGGAAAAAAATATAAGGAAAAGACATATAAAATTACCTTCGCCTATGCCTAGCCACTGTCTCAAGAGGATATGATTACGACGATGTTGCCGACAGTGTCTTACCTCCCCAAATCCCCATCAGCGAATTCGATTATAAAATCTCCAAGACCAGACGTGCTCTTCTAAAACAGGAAAAGAGGGCATGATCACATTCAAGGAAAATCAGAAAAACAATAACCTAAAAATGAAAATCCAAAACATCGAACCTGCTTCTTCCCCAACCCGACCGTCAATCTCTCAAACCCGACAAACAATCAAAACCTGAAACCCAACTCATATATGATTGGGGGATGGGAGGAAAAAGCCAAGGAATTGCCATTCAGTAACCGCAGGAAAAAAGGGAAAAAATGGCAGGGGAAGGAGAAGGAGGGTGGGGGAGAGAGAGACCTGAGTTCACGACGACGGGAGGGAAGGTTTCGCAAAGCATACATCTAATGGTCCAGCGGCATTTCGCTGAGATTCCACGATCAACTCAGCTCTCAGAAAATCCCATCAACTGCAAAGGGCAAGAGAATCAGCATGCTCTGGCTTGAGAATCCTCCCTGGCTACTAATGTCGTCTCCCCTGTCGTTGCTTGACATTTCCAGAGAAGGGGCTGAGGAGACCCACCCCAAGCCGACTTATTACTCCTTGGCTGCACGGATGCAAAGGGAACATACAGTTAAACCTGCAACACAGAAGAAAAAACCCATTCACTTTTCATCCCCCGTGATGGATTAATAGAAGTATGCAACATCAATGGCTAATATCAATGAGAAGTTTTATGAAATGCATTCTGCTCTCTAGCTCTGAAATCATCAATCCCCAGCACCTTTGTCCGTGTGAACTGACAAACATGCAACTCAGCCTGCTGGAGATGCAACACAGTATGCAGCAAGTTTTCAAGTGGTGATATCCCCCGCTAAAATACAAAGGATTCAGGAGAGAAAACAACAAAACTTATGGGGAACAAAAATGAAAAAAAGCATGATTCTCACGACACCCCAAAGCACGTCAACGGAGGCTCACCTGAAGGTCCAACCGAGCGCGAGAACCAACTTGACTTGATCTATAAGGGAAACAAAACATTGGAATCTTTAGCATAAAACGATCCGGAGCCAAGGCTAGTCAATACTAAAACCAGTAGAGTAAAAAGTACACTGTTAAGCACGATGGTTGGAACCAATGACCAACCATACACAAATTATTCTAACCATTCTAATCTAACCCTATTAAAGAGATTTTAATAAGAACCCCAATTGTGGCACTGTAACACCAGAACTCATAAGGGTATACCAATCACTACCACAAAGAACAGAATGCAATAGAATAATTCACGAAGCCTACTACTTACGCATTAAAGTGACTCAGCTGATTATCTCCTACCATTTTTTTTCTTTCTATTACTCTACCCAAGATCCAGTTGCAGAAGCTGAACGGCAAAATCAAATTCGACAAAACCCAATCATTCTAAAAGAACAATTACCATGTTGGAAAAAGTCTGCGAAGGACTACAATTTCCTTCGCCATGGATCCGTCACGTGGTAAGATCCAAACTTGACTGAGATACTGAATCAAGTTTTATTCACAATTCATGTTTCTAGGTAGCACGACATTACAATCAATTCATGTTTCTAGGTAGCACGACATTACAATCATTATCCTGTGATTGAAACAAACAGATTAAACATCAAAAATAAAATGGACTAAACATATACAACTCGCACAGATATAGGAATGAAAACAATATGACATATATGCAATCACAATTGGCACAAACAACAAAAATAGGATCAATTCATTTGCCACAGAACTCACCGTCCGAACCTCCTTTGAAAGCGGATGAAGAAACCCCTGACAAAAGAATGAAAACAAAACCATCAAGAAAAGAGAGTAAACAAACTAATCACAGAGAGAGAACCATCACTTGAAATCTAAAAGCGTCGTGGAAACTGGAGATTAGTTTCTTCTCCGCACTGCCGCTGAACCTCACAAATCCGGCATTTGTGATTAAAATAGGCACCCATCTCGAAGGAAGAGAACATAAACACTCACACAAAATCAGAAAGAGAGAGTGGAAATGAGAATAAAAACGAAATTGGAATTCTTCTCCACACCATAACTGAAATTCTTTAAATGAAACACCAGCAGAGTCCATAGCTAAAGGAAAGGAGAGTGAATCATTTTGAAAACATAGAGTTGTCAGGCCACCTAACTGTTGGTTTGAGGAGTAAATCATTTTGAAAACATACCAATTAATAACCAAGTAGTTAGTGGCTGCAAACACCTTTTATAAATTACATATAAGGTACATGAAAACAATAAAATTAACACAATTGAATATATGAATTATTTACTAATTCAACAACTCTTTGGGAATTGAGCAGGCAATCTGGCATTTATCATTTGATTAAACTTCACCAATTATCTAGTAGCTATGGTATTTTTTTTCCCCACATGGTTGCTTGCTAAAGATCATTCAAATTATTTCACATCATGAAAACTTAAAACTGGGTTTGTAGGAACCAAAGTTTCAGACCGTTATAGGAAAACAAATACCTGGCTGTAACATGACCTTCTCCTCCTCATCCTAGAATAACAATATTCAGCTCTAGTCCTCTCAAGTGCATATGCAACGCATGCCCTATTGGTACAGTAAAACTCTGGCAAAAAGGGGTAAAAGGAACCGAGACCACATTAGAGAACAGAACATGTAAAGGGAATAAAAGAAGAAGTTACAGAAGAACAAACCTCAAATAATCATAATGAAGCAATGCAGACGCAAGTTGAGTTGTGCATCGCTATACCTCCTAATCCACAGTTCCATGTACCCTTGTTGGCACATCAGAACAGACCGGCTACAAACTGTAGAGCAAAGCATATGGGCAACCATAAATCCATAGGCACAAACAAAACCAAACCATAAAATCTATAATGTTAGGGACCATCATAAGCAGAATGTGTTTCAACACTGATAGCGGTCATTATAATCTATACTTCTAGCACAACCAAAGAAAAGTAAAATGATCACCGCGATTAAAAATGGGTTTGCTCCAAATCTAAATCGCCACAACCCAACCAGTTTGACATCGGCTTCTGCTTCCCAAACATGCTTGCTACTGAAAAGCTTGGTTAGGTTCCTTCTATCCTCCCCGGCAGCAGATGTAGATCAAACATATTGTAAGCAATGTACTGCAACAACTTAAAGAAGACACCGTAAGTAAAAACCCTCATCAGATCCCAATATACAGGCACGCAAAAGAAGGAAATGCATGCAACCAAAACAATAAGCGAAACTAACCCGAACCACTTTGGTGGGCCTCTATCTGTCATGCTTCAGAGGGGACAACCGGTGTATCTACCGATCGAATTCTCCAACATCCTAGCATTTGGATATAAACATAAATAAGTTTGTATGAAGGGTCATAGAACAGAGCTTACAATAGCAAACAAAAAGGCAGCTAAACTCGTTAACAACGTTGGCCACCTGACTAATTAATCGAGGAAGATTAGACCTCTCGTTTTCTAACTCCAACACTAATTAAAACAAGATTCCAAATGAATTTGGATCAAACATAAGTCAACTTCGTTTTGTGTAAACGCTGGTTCACTTACTCCTTCCATGATCTTCAAAGCCAATGTTCCTTTTTCCTCTTGAGTGATTCTCTCACTCCGGCCATGATCTGGTTGCATTGTCGTTCCTTCAGTAAGAAATAATGGACAAAAGTATGAACCAAACCCAGAAATACAGTGTACAGCAGGATAAACAAACATAGGTAAAGGAAGTTAATATAGTAAGATCCCTCAGAAGTCAAAGTTTATAAGCAAGTCATTCTAATTCTTCTATGAAAACAATTAGACAAGCATGTTCGTCAAAATAGAAAGACCAATTCGCCAAGCAAGTAAGAGCTGCACTTACACTTGGGACAGTTCTCAGAGTAAACAGCATCCCATATCCTTCTAGCTGATGGACCAGTGTATCCAGTATAGCGTTCAGGATTCAGTTGCAGATTCACATACGTCATCTCATCTGTAAATGAAAAGTTGCATTAGCAGCAACATTTGATAGCTCAATATAAACTATCTTTAACCAGACAAATAGTAGCAATAAATTGTGAGATCTGATCATTAGTAGTTTTACATCAGGGGTGGCAGAATAGTGAATACCAATCCCAACTCAAACCACAAACATAAAAGATTTATAGGATGAAACGTAAAGACAAACATAAATGAAAACGACACCAATTTCATATCTTTGAAGCTTAGGGACCAGAAAGGGGACTAACCATTGTTAGTCTCATAATCATTTGTCCATGGGTTATCAGTCACTGTCCAACCCCTAAAAGCTCTATGATCAAGGGTGCGATCGACGGCAGCCTCCGGCTTGCCTTCTTGACAAATAGGCGCATCTGAGGGCAGACCACGGCGGAAAGGCCTCTTAAACAACTCAGGGAACTCATTATCCGGACATTCACAGACACTGCAATCCCTCAATTTGCACATGCCATCATCCGGCCAGAAAGGACAGTCACACCATAATTTCACCTATTAGAGAGCACAAATGGCCAAAGAAAAATCAGCCACAAGAAAAGCTAACCAAGCAAACAACATTATCAGTTCAGTATGATCGGGAATGAGCAGCAAGAGATAAAGACAAATGCAATTACAGAATCATGCTTCTTGATCACAAAGCAAAGAAATTGCTGGCACGGCAACATGTATAGTAATGCTTTGAAAATGACAAGTTCCTAACTTTAATGAGAACCCAGTGGAGTTTGGGGGGAAGGACCTTGAAATAACGGAAGAATGGGGTTTTCACAAGCTCCTGGAGAGACGGATACAATACTTCCTCGTTCAAAAGGTTAGCCGTCTCGTAGTTGCAACAACAATCTTCCACAATCCCAGTATATTTCTGTGCGCACACAGACGAAATTAAGAACTGCCCAGTCAAAATCAGCTGAAACAATGATGTAAAACGAACACTCAGATGGGGACAGAATCTCAAATCGCCCCTGAATCCCTGAATCGCAAAGCATTCGAAATAGAATACCAGGTCTAATACGATTCACAAAACTATGAACTTCTATAATAATGCATGTCAATCCCCGAGCCGCAGACCAAGTCAAACGGAGGCAAAGATTACAGAATTCGAACAGAATAAAACGTACCTGCTGCTGGGAGCAGCTGCAGAGCTTATTGACTTTACCGAAGAGAGAGATCTTGGGGGAGGCGGTGGAAGCAGCGGCCAGAGCGATGATCAGAGCAGTGATAGCAAAGAAAACCGCCCACCGGCGCCGGCTACCACCCTCGCTCTTGCTCTTGTCTGAAAGCAAAAATCAATGAGAGAGAAGCTAGCAACCTACCACCGAGGCAAACCCAGCCCTCGCCTTTTCTACCTTCTGCGAATCGGAATGAACAAAAGGATGAACCAAACCCAGAAGTATGGTGAAAATCAGAATCTATACCCAAACCCAGCAAGCGCAGAAGTCGTCTGAAAGCAAAAATCAATGAAAGAGAAGCTAGCAACCTACCACCATCGCGAACCATCCCTCGTCGTGAACCCAGCCCTCGTCGTTTCTATCGTCTGCGAAAACAGAAGGATCACTTTCTGTAGCCATAATCTCGTTGTCTTCGTCCCTTTGATATGAAAAGAATGGGGAAGATGATGAACGAAATCCATCAAATACGTTCGGCTAAAAACCCAGAAAACAGGAGAAAGAAAGGGAGAAAGAAACCCACCGCTGTTCCTTCCTCTTCTCCTCCTGGTTCTCCTTCTGGCTTCGTCTTCTTCCAATGAAAGAAAGAGAGAGATGGAGACTGATTGGTGGGTGGCAGGAGTTCTGTGAGAAGGTGAAGCAAAAACAGAAAAGAAGGATGAACCCAAAAAATACAAAAAGAACCTAGAAACAAGAGCAAAGAGAAAGAAGGTACCGAATCTATCTTCATGGATGATGGTGGGTTCTGTGGGCTACTGATTTTTGCCCTATTGTGCCTGATTCTTCTGTCATTTTAGAGTTCTACTTCACCTTCTTCAGCTATGGGCGCCTCGATCTTCCTTCTCTTCTGCTTCACCATGTTTCTTCTTCGTCGTTCAATACAAAAAGAGAGGAAGAGAGAAAGCAGATCTGAAAAAGTATGGTGGGAACTAAGGTAGTGTAACAGAAGCAAATGTCAGGATATGGGAATGGAAAGAGTTCCAAAAGGGACAAAGGCTCCCTTCTCGAAACAAGTGAAGCAGAGGGGCCAAAGATCGAGAACTGAAAAGTAAAGTAAAACTAATAGAACGACGGCAAAACGGTAGAAAAGCAACGCAACCATCTCCATCACAGGAGCCGCCTGAACGTGGCAGACCCAAAGTCAGTAAAAAATGAGTGGAAAAAGTGCAAAAAATGGAAAACAAGTAACAGTGTTTGGATGTGACTCTACCAAACAGTAAACTTGTAACTTGTTCTTTTAAAGAGATAATAGTAAATACTTGTGGAATTCATTTGAAAATTCCATCTCAATTCCTCTGAATTGTTATAACCAGTTCCAATTCCGTAGAATTCAAAATTTAGAATTAAAAATGAATTCTTTCAGATATCAAACACAAAAAGATCTCATTTTAAAACGAATTCCTCAAAATTTATAAAATTTATTTATACCAAACGGTATGTTATTGTTCATTTGATTTTACTGTTTCTGTGGGGCTCAGTCAGAAGTGTGGTGGCAATTGGGAGGGTTAGTTGGGGATGGAGATGGAGACGTTTACTTCCCCAATTCATGTCCTCATCATCACTAGCTCCTCCAAAAGTCCAACGCAAACCCACCCCAGTCGACGATTTTGATTTTGTTTGGACTTGATAACAATGCCACCCAATTAATTAACAACTTCCCTATCATTGATGCATTTCTAACCTAAGTGTTTTTTGAATGGTTTATGGCCATTATTAACTCTTCGGTTCGGATAGTTGATAGTCTCGTGGTTCAACTTCAAGGTGCGGTTGATATATAGATACTAGGGAAACTGATTAGAGCGGGCACAATTCGAGCTTATAGTTTTATCGATAGATATTAATATTATATCTTTTTGTAATGATAGATTGTGAAAATTATATCTAATGAGGTTGCTCAATGACAAGTGACAACCCTCATATCTTACCCCTTGAGTCTCTCCTTCATGAGGTTGATATTATTTATCTTTATATATTATTATTATTATTATTAGATATCCCTATGAAATTATTTGTATTATTCTATAAGTAATGCTCATGGATATACTCCTGAAGCATACCATATTCCAAGCGAGCTGATCATTGGATGTAATTCGTCAAATCAAAATTGTCGATTTAGTTTGACGAATCGAACATGAGGACAAATCAGACATCAGGTTTATCCATTAGAGTTAATGATACAATTTCATCCCCAAATTCATTTTAATTCACGGTTTAAAAATAAATATCTCCCTAGGAATAGTCAAAACATTATATAATCTAGGAATATAACTGTCTGGCTCATAAACTATACGCTCTATCATTTTAATTTACTTTGAAAAACATACCACTAAAACACAGAGAATGGCTATGCAAGTAATAATATGGAAAATACAAGGTGAATTATATCATCCATGTATGTGATGGATATTGTGACCCATGAAAATATTAAAGAAATTAACGGCAATAATCTCGAGGATAATGGCATGGACCATATCTAATTAGCATAGCAATACCCCTAATATGTATAATGCAGAAGACCAAATCTTGTCAATGGTAAAGAGCTACAACCACAAGCAACACCAACAAAAATATAATAATAAAAGGAAGGGGGGAAAGAATTGGCATAGCAAATATGGGGGCCAAAATGGAACCTTCTTAAATATGGGAGACCTGTCGAGACTTGTGGTTCCAAATTATGTAGGCAATGCGTGGATAGGAATGCAACGACTTGGGATTTCGTTGGCTCATGGATTTAAGTTGCATTGCATATGGGGTGTAAAATGGGTGTACCATATCATAAAATTCGATTGAATTTTGATTATTCATTCGAGACGGAACACCAAATTATAATTATTAGGACCAAGAAACTTGCGTGAAGTAGATATATATAGTATAAAGTAACTATCGTGTCACTTACTTCAAATTTTCAGTGATAAGTCTATCAAACATTTAAGTTCAATGATCTATAATGTGATATTTGACTTGAAAATGGAGAATAGCCTCTGCCTGATTCCGTAATCTTTAGCATCCAAAAATCGAAAGAAAATGACATTTCGGAAAAATCGCCCAAAATCTGTGATGGTACCCCTTTGCAATCTGCCAAAAATTGACCTGGAATAAATCCGCCCAGATCGGTGCTTAATGGACTTAATCATCCTTAAATAATAGCCTCAGGCCGTATCCGTTATCTGTAGCCTTCAAAATCCAAAGAAAATGGTTTATCGAAGCTCACAAAATTACGAAAACCCCATCCAAAAATAAATTGGCCCAAATCGGTGCTTAATGGACTTATCATTCGTGGAGAATAGGATCAATAGACTTAATTATCGATGGAGAATAGCCTCGGCCTGATACCGTGATCTGTAGCCTCCTTAATCGAAAGAAAATGGAATTAAGAAAAATCGCCCCAAATCTGTGATGGTACCCCTTTGCAATCTGCCAAAAATTGACCAGGAATAAATCCACCAAGATCGGTCCTTAATGGACTTAATCATCCTGGAAGAATAGCCTCAGACCGAATCCGTGATCTGTAGTCTTCAAAATCAAAAGAAAATGGTCTTTCGACGCCCACAAAATTTCGAAAATGCCATCTGAAAATAAATTGGCCCAAATCGGTGATTTATGGACATATCATCCGTGGAGAATAGGATCAATAGACTTCATTATCGGTGGAGAATAGCCTCGGCCTGATTCCGTGATCTGTAGCCTACAGAATCGAAAGAAAATGGCATTTCGAAAAAATCGCCCAAAATTTGTGATGATAACCATTTGCAATCTACCAAAAATTGACACGAAATAAATCCGCCCAGATCGGTGCTTAATGGACTTAATAATCCTTGACGAATAGCCTCAGGCCGAATCCGTGATCTGTAGCCTTCAAAATCCAAAGAAAATTACCTTTCGAAGTCCACAAAATTACGCAAAAGCCATCCAAAAAAAATTGGCCCAAATCGGTGCTTAATGGACTTATCATCCGTGGAGAATAGGATCAATACACTTCATTATCGGTGGAGAATAGCCTCGGCCTGATTCCGTGATCTATAGCCTCCAGAATCGAAAGAAAATGGAATTTCGGAAAAATCGCCCAAAATCTGTGATGGTACCCCTTTGCAATTTGCCAAAAATTGACCAGGAATAAATACACCAAGATCGGTGCTTAATGGACTTAATCATCCTTGAAGAATAGCCTCATACCGAATCCGTGATCTGTAGCCTTCAAAATCGAAAGAAAATGGTCTTTCGACGCCGACAAAATTACGAAAACCCCATGCGAAAATAAATTGGCCCAAATCGGTGCTTAATGGGCTTATCATCTGTGGAGAATAGGATCAATAGACTTCATTTTCGGTGGAGAATAGCCTCGGCCTGATACCGTGATCTGTAGCCTCCAGAATCGAAAGAAAATGGCATTTCGGAAAAATCGCCCAAAAATCTTTGATGGTACCCCTTTGCAATCTGCCAAAAATCGACTTGGAATAAATCCACCCAGATTGGTGCTTAATGAACTTAATCATCCTTGAAGAATAGCCTCAGACCGAATCCGTGATCTGTAGCCTTCAAATTCCAAAGAAAATGGCCTTTCGAAGCCCACAAAATTACGAAAACGCCATCCGAAATAAATTGGCCCAAATCGGTGCTTAATGGACTTATCACCCGTCGAGAATAGGATCAATAGACTTCA